TTAACTCCACTAACTTTTTACTTGGTGTTGATGTCCCTGATAGAGGAAATACAACCTCTAGCAGTAATCTCATTCAGGTTATACTACCTGCCTCAATTTAATCATACTTGTGTGTATTTGTTTCCTCAGTTGGAACTAAGTTACTGTATTTCTTTTTCTTATTTTTTTATTATTGTACAGTTTCTTTACCTTTCAAGTATAAATGTGTATATAAAATGTAAATACAAGGAATTCACTAAAAACCACTCATAACAATTACTGTGTAAATAAAACTGGTAAGCAGAGTAATTACTTGAAGTGAGTCTTCATTACTTTGGGGATATCCGTTTTATTTAACTGCATCTCAAGAACAAAAAGGAAATACTCTGTTTTTCTTGGCCAAATTTGTCTTCCAAGGAATGCACGAGGCCTTCAGTCTTTTGAGACTGGCAGTACTGACAGCTAAAATATTGTACTGTATCTTTGCTTGAGCCCAGTATGTAGGAAATATGTGATAATTCCCATGGTCAATATCTGGCAGTTTTTGTTGTTGTTGTTAAAGTATATTTTCAATTAAAAAAAACTTTTCCTAATATACTCAAGATAATGTGAAATTTAATATGATGTTTCATTTGTTTGTCTACTCTATATATATATATTTCTCACTTAACGTTCCTTTAGCCCAGGTCTACATTGCATTATTTAAATTCTGTTAGAAAAAAAGCTGTTAGAAGACTCCAGTAACTGACATAGTTTTCTAAAGTCGGCTTTTGCTGATGTCTTTTGCATTTGCGACCTTTGAGTATATTTGTTTGACTTTATAAAATTAGGTAGCATTTACAAAAGGACGTTAACATTTTCAGTATCCCTGACTTCAGGATAATAGCTTCCGTGTAGCTTAGGAACTGTTATTTTGACCTAGGCCAGTCAACTCTTTAGAGTCTACACTACTGAAGGGTATAATTCTAAAGCAGATAATCATGAAATAATTTATCTTACTTCATAATGTCATATGACTTATTTTGATTTTTTGATTTTATGTTTTTGTTTGGATAAGATAAAAGTATATTCCAAGAGGGTATTCAGACACCAGGGACTAGAATAAAAAAAGAGTCAGAAAAGTGTGACAGTAAGTTACATTAAAATTTGTCATGATTAATTAATAGTGTCAGAAAACAGTCTTCTGAGAGAAAAAAAGTTATTTTTGTATTGAATCATATTATTCTGCTGTTTGACAAGCATTGTCTAAACTATGATTCTCAAGTGTAATAAAACCTCATTAATTAGAACTCACTGCTTTACAACATGTAAAACCTAAAATGAAATCCAAGATTTCAGGGAAACTAGCCACTCCAGAGAAAGCCCTGCCCTTTAAAAATATTGTTTGCTTAGTAAGAGTGTAATTACAAAAGTGGGAAATTTGAATTAATACATTATATTTCTTAAGCCCTGATTATTGCCAAGCACTCCCTTTTAATATTTTGTTAGGCTACATAAAGTTTTAAGGCTTGGGAAATTCCAAAATTGCCTTTCTTTCCAGATATTCTACTGTTCATATTGATCATTCCTTGATCTCAGTTAAGGAGAATTTACTTATGTGCATTTTATTTTGTAGACTTGATTTATTTTCTAATAAACACCAGGAAGGAAATTTGACTTAAAATTATATTATGAAAGTGTTTCATTTGAACATTTATGTAAATAATAATGACTTTATTAAACTTAAAGTAAAATGACTTTTGTACTATTACAATGTGTTTGAAAAATCATTTTTATAATAAATATATAAATGATAAATGAGTATAGACTTGAAGGAGTATATAAAATCGTCAACAGTGAGTCAACATTCTCATTTTTCATCTTCAGGCATGATGCCGTACGCAATGGTATAAAAGCAGAAAGTAAAGCTTCAACTTCTGGTCACAGCTGGGCCTGGTGGCTCATGTCTGTGATCCTAGCACTTTGGGAGGCTGAGGCAGGAGCATCACTTGATCTGAGGAACTCCAGATTAGCCTGGGCAATATAGTGAGACCATCTCTACAAAAAATTAAAAATTAGCTGGGCATGGTAGCATGTGCCTGTAGTACCAGCTACTTGGAAGTCTGAGGTAGGAGGATCACTTGAGCCTGGGAGGTTGGGGCTTCACTGAGCTATGATCACACCACTGGACTCCAGCCTGGGCAACAGAGTAAGACCCTGTCTCAAAAACATTAAAAAAAATATATTGCGGGAAGTTAGGAAACAAAAAAGCCTCTTATGTGAGCCCTTGAAAAGTAAATACATTTTATGACATTTTTAATTAGATTACGTTTTATTATCTTTTTAACAGTGTAAATCAGCTGAGCATTGTGGCTCACACCTGTAATCCCAGCACTTTGGGAGACTGAGGTGGGTGGATCACTTGAGGTCAGGAGTTCCAGACCAGCCTGACCAACATAGTGAAAACCTGTCCCTACTAAAAATACGAAAACTAGCAGGATGTGATGGTGGGCACCTGTAATCCCAGTTACTCTGGAGGCTGAGGCAGGAGAATCACTTGAACCCAGGAGGCGGAGGTTGCAGTGAGCCAAGATTGCACACACTGCACTCCAGCTTGGGTGACAGAGCAAGACTCCATCTCAAAAAAAAAAAAAAAAAAAAAAAGTGTAAATCAATTCCTGTCATTTCTTTGCTCAAGATTCTCTAATGGCATTCCTCATAATTAAAATTCATGCTCTTTATTCTGGTCTGCATGGTCCTAATTTATCTGGTCACTGCCCAACTTTCCAATTTCAGCTACAATTTATAAACACTCTGCGTAGACACAGTGGACTTAATGCCATTTTTCAATTTGTTAGCCTTCTATCCACCTGAGGCCTTTCTTCCCTCAGAATTGTTTTTTATCTAGGTCTTTGTATGGCTTATACTTTATATCACTGCTTAAGGTCACTTTTTCAGAAGACTTTAAACATCTATCCACTATTCTCATGATCTTACGCTGCTTCATATTTCTTTATAGTTTCTATTACATATCACCAACTGACATTGTTTTATAGTGCTGTCTATTGTTTCCACTACAGTATAAACTCTGAGGTCAGAAACATTGTCTTATTTACTACCGAAATGCTAATACTCAAAATAGTGCATGGCACTACCCTACAGTAGATATGGATGATTGAATTGTTTTTATTTTGGTCCATTCCTCACTGAACTTACCTTTTAATTTAAAATTTTTTTCTATTATAGATACTATTTTTGGTTCACTCAGAAACTTAAAACATGTAAAGGTTGGGTAGAAGAGAATGAACTAGTGAAAGTCAGGAATAGGAATATCAAGAGAATGTGGGGTCAGAAAAGACAACGGACAAGACCGTTTCCATAAAGGAGTCATTAACAGTGTAACGTTGCAATGAGGTTGAAATAAGAACTGAGAGAAGTCAATTAAACTTGGCAACGTGGAAGTCATTAAACCTTAGTGCGCTACTTTGGCGTATGCTGACTCTTGCAATCAGAGGGTTGAAGAATCAGTGTGAGGCAAGGAATTAAACATTGCTAGTGTAGATAATTATAAAAATAAGCTTTAAAGGGAAGAGAGAACTGATAATGGTTGGTAGGGAAAAAGGAGGTTCCAGCTGGGTGCAGTGGCTCGCACCTATAATCCCAGCTACTTGGAGGCTGAGGTGGGAGGATCCCTTGAGTTCAGAAATTAAAGGTTACCGTGAGCTATGATGATACCACTGCACTCCAGCCTGGGTGACAGAGTGAGATTTTCTCTCTTAAAAAGAGGGAATAATGATTTCTAATCTAAAATAATTTCTGAATAGGCAGCAGGGACTTGGATCCAAAACACAAGATGAGAGAGTGATAAAGGTATTCGGGATGCAGATGGGTTTGCAAATTTGATGTTGGTAAGCTGAAAGGGGAATTCTGTCTTGTAGCTATTATTTCCTTTGTGAGATAGGCCAGAAGTGGGGCCATCTACTGTAACAAGAGAGAGCCGGGGTTTTGTTTTGTTTTGACTTCTATGATTGGTTGGATGGTTATACCATTAGTGTGAAAAGGATTCTATAAGAGGAAGACATTTTGTGTGAGTAGGGAAAAGTGACTTGTACTATCTTCCTTAGAAGAAAATCCCCAGTGCCTCATCTGGAGGGTCTACCTCTGACTTTTTGTTCCACTCCCCCTTGCCGATTTGGCTTCAGTCATACTGGCCTTCTCTCTGATCCTCAAACACGACCAAGTGTATTCCTGCTTTACTCTCTGTGCCCGTGTAGTTTCTGCTTGGATTGCTCTTCCCCCAGGCTGGCTAGCTTCTTGGCATTTGGTTCTCTGCTTAAGTGTTTGTCACTTCTTCAGACACCTGATTACCAATCTAAAATTCTCCCTTTTCACCCCAACTCCTGGAATGTGAGTTCCATATCAACAGGGACTTAGTCTGTCTAGTTCATTGCTATACAGCTCCTATAATAGTTTCTGGCATCCAGGAGGCATTTTAATTTTAGTTTTAATTTTTGTGGGTACATAGTAGGTATATATATTGATGGGTACATGAGGTGTTTTGATACAGGCATACACTGTGAAATAAACACATCATGGAAAATGGGATATCCATCCCTTCAAGCATCTATCCTTTGAGTTACAAACCATCCAGTTATACTCCTTATCTAAAAATGTACAATTAAGTTTTTATTGACTATAGTAACCCTGTTATACAATCAATAGTAGTTCTTATCCATTCTTTCTAATCCGGAGGCATTAAAAAAAAAACAACAAAGAAGAAAACAAAGTAAATGTAGGCCCTTAAATAAAAGTAATAAACAAGAGTTTTCACAGCCACTTTGAAGGGAGAGTTTGCACGACGGCAAAGACGTGCCAGGAAATGCACCAACGCACTTTTATTAGCAAGTGTGGGGCCAGATGTTAGTTGAGATGTCTGTTCTTTGAGAATCAGATGAGATTTTATTGAACTCCATCTCATTTGTATTTGGACAAATTCATTCCCTCTCCCCCCTCCCCCCTCCTCCCCCCCCACCTTCTCGCCTATAGAGCAGAAGATGCAAAGAACAGTTTCTAGAGAAAAAATGAATGGAGGAATGATTTGAGGAGGTGGGCCACAATTTAATTTGTATTAGTCCATTTTCACGCTCCTAATAAAGACATACCCAAGACTGGGTAGTGTATAAAGAAAAAGAGGTTTAAGGGACGCGCAGTTCCATATGGCTGGGAAGGCCTCACAATCATGGCAGAAGGCAGAAGAGGAAAAACACGCCTTATGTGGTGGCAGGCAAGAGAGAGAATGAGAACCAAGTGAAAGGGGTTTCCCTTTATAAAACTATCTGTTCTCAGCAGGCAAGAGAGAGAATGAGAACCAAGTGAAAGGGGTTTCCCTTTATAAAACTATCTGTTCTCAGCAGGCAAGAGAGAGAATGAGAACCAAGTGAAAGGGGTTTCCCTTTATAAAACTATCTGTTCTCAGCAGGCAAGAGAGAGAATGAGAACCAAGTGAAAGGGGTTTCCCTTTATAAAACTATCTGTTCTCAGTCTTGTGAGACTTAACTACTACAAGAACAGTATGGAGGCAACTGCCCCCATGATTCAATTATCTTTCACTGGGTCCCTCCCACAACATGTGGGAATTATGGAAGCTGCAATTCAAGATGAGATTTGGGTGGGGACACAGCCAAACCATATCAGAATTCAAAAGAACAAAGAAAGATTTTTCAATGTATTAGGCAAAAACCCCATAAAAAGCAGTGTTTCAAAAGTCAAAGGGAAAGAAATTTTGGAGGTTGATGAAGGTCAAGAATCTTAAGTAGAGGGAGGGTGCGTACAGTGGCTCATGCCTGTAATTTCATACTCTGGCATGCCTTTAATTTCATACTTTGGGAGGTCAGTGTCGCCCCAGCTGGAGTGCAGTGAAGCAATCTCGGCTCACCACAACCTCTGCCAACTGGGTTCAAGCGATTCTCTGGCTTCAGACTCTAGAGTAGCTGGGATTACAGGTGCCTGCAACCACGCCCAGTTAATTTTTTTAAATTGCATTTTAGGTTTTGGGGTACAATTTTTGTATTTTTAGTATAGATGGGGGGTTTCACCATCTTGACCAGGCTAATCTTGAACTCGTGACCTCGTGATCCACCCATCTTGGCCTCCCAAAGTGCTGGGATTACAGGCGTGAGCCACTGCACCCGGCCGGTAAATTCTTAAATTTTGCAGACACAATCATACAAAGTTGTGAGAGTCAAAATGAAGGAAACAGGTGATTACATGACAGGTATATTTAATGCCATAAATCCCAAGAAATTAGAGGTGTGAAAGGGGGCCCTGGAGAGGGAGATAAAGGAAATAGCTGAAAAGGAATGCAAACAAGAAAAGGAGGAGTTGAAAGCTGAAATGAAAACCAGGAATAAGAAAAGCCCTGCTCCTTCCTTCAGTGCCCACTCAAATGAATGAATGCTGCTTGGTTCCCTGAATCTCCCCTTCTACTGGCCACTCTGCTTGGTCCATCATTGCTTTCAGCTCTCTCTTATCCCAAACGGCTTTCTTCAACCCAGTCATAATCTTCATTTCCTGTTTCTTTTCTCTCCAGTCCCACCCACATAAGAACCCTCCTCTGGGCCATTTCGGGGGATTTTCACTGAAGGTGTGAGCCGCGTGCTGTCGGTGCGGCGTGCGGCGAGGCTGGCCCTATAGAAATGTTTCTGACATCCTCGTGCGGATACGCACAAGTCTCCACCTACAGGATCACGGGTTTGGGGTGCGCAATCACAGCAGCCAGCGTGGGAAGGCGCCGTATTATAACTGTAATTGCGTAGTTTGGAACCATCAGATCTGAGAGGAAACTGGGTCCTCCACAGCCGGCCGCCTAGCCCAGTGTCACAAGATAGTTACAGGTTGGGTTCGGCAGCAGAACCCAGTTTCCTCGAGACAGAGGTTTAAATAAAGGCTCACAGTGGCCGCAGGCCAGCCTTCACGAAAACAGCCAGCTGCGCCAAATCTCGCGCAGCGGGCCTGGAGGGCGGGAGGGGCTGGAGGGCGGGCGGGGAATTTAAGGTATCGCGAGATGACAGGATTTTCCCGCGAAGGAGAAGCGCGCTTTTTTCCCTGGCGCGGGATTTGGTGAGGAGGCTGGGCCGGGAGCTGCTGTGAGGTATTGGCGTGCGGCTTTGCAGGCTCTGAGAGGAGGGGACCCGGCTCCCGGGTGAGTGTCCAGGCATGCCGGCGGAACGGCCCGCGGACAGCGGCGGTGAGTGAGGGGAACCTTCTTTCGGGTGCGGGCGGCGGCGTGAGGGGCTGAGGTGGGCAAGCATGGAGGCTGCAGCGGAGCTTAGGGGAGGGAGCCGACCCTGTGCAGGGACTGAGGAGGAAGGGAGGGTAGGGAAACTGCAACGGTGAGTGGAGGACACCCCGGAATCGCACATATTAGCAAGCCGGAGAAGATTTCACACAGGACAGTTCATTTTCTGAGCATCCCGAGTTGTAAATTGGTCCAGGCAACTTGTAGACGTTGTGAAGACCTAGGGTGTCTGAGAGGTGATGCTGGCATCCCCTGCGTCTTCGGCTTTTGCTCCAGTGCATCTCGGGTGAGAGAAAGGCTGTTTAATGTTGGAGTTCAGTAGCTAGTAATTTTTTTTAAACTGCAATTTGAAAGCCTTCTCCTCCTCAGGCTCACAAACTCCAGAAATGGCTGAACGATTAGACACTGCCGTGATTACCCCAGCCATGCTAGAAGAGGAAGAACAGCTCGAAGCTGCTGGACTAGAGAGGGAGCGGAAGATGCTGGAAAAGGTAATTTAGGCGTCAGGTTTTTCGTCCTGAAAGCCGGTGGTAACCTCGGCTTTAACCCGGAGTTGTGGTTTTTTTTTTTGCTTTCCTATTTCGTGGGCTTTCTCATAAACTTGAACGAACACAGCTTTGTTACTTGTCATTTTGTATGTCTGCAGATACTGCCTTTGAGAAGCCTTTCGCACGTGCTTTGGTGTGTTTCTGTGAGATGAAGTCTTGGTAGTCCCATCTCTTTTAAGTGATCATTTCATATTGCTTGTTTAGCCGTGAAAAGTCGAAGTCGATATTGAGTTTTTTCCTTCGTCGTCCTTATTTCCTTTAAAGATTACCTTAAATGTATGTCTGATGGCAAACACGAATCGCGAAAACCTGCAGAAGTAATGTACTAACTAGACTGAGGGCAGGAGAAGTTAGCATCAATCAAAGGCTGGGCTGGAACCCAAGTCTAATGATTACCTTTTAGTGTAGTGCTGTTTTCCACCCAAGTGATCAACTTGCTGTTTGTTTTCCTTTTGGATTCATGGCTTGTGTGTTGCTACATAAGATTCTTGAGCTAAAAATGTGGTGTACTTTTTCAATGACAAGTTGCTGTAGTTTTCTTGTGGAGAGTATTTTGTAGATAACTAAAAGCAGTTTTTAACCTGAAATATTCTTGTTTAAAGTTCCACCCTGCTGCTTGATTCATATGCAAGAAAAAGAATGATGGCTGACTCTTAATAGGTGGTTTTCTTGTGCTTTATTAATTTAATAAACTCTACCGACATTATGATAGAGGTTATTTTTTGATATCTCTATTTACAAATGAAGAAATGGAGGGAGAAGGGCACACAGTAAGTGTTGACGTCAAATTTGAACTTGGGCTGCCATCAGAAATTATGTCCTTATTAATATTGAATTAACTCATCATGATTATAAAACTGCTTAAGTTGGAAAATAATTCACCCCTAAAATAATGCACTCCCAAAAATAATGCAGCCCCAAAAGATAGAGGCTATTTTCTATCAACAGTAAGTTTTTTGTCAGCGTTGTTAATACTTCATGAACATTTATTATGAGGCATGCATCGTTTTGAATGCTTTGTATGCATTTACTCATCGAATCCTCAACTATTCTGTGAAGCAGATGCTCATTATTACTATTACTGCTGTCAGACTTACTAGTTTAATTACTGGTAGAAACAATTGCTATTATTGAACTACACAACTAAATAGACTTTTTTAGATTTTACAGATGAGGAAACCGAGGCCCAGGGAAGTTGTTTGGGTACTACAGTAAGTAAATGGCAGAAAAGACATCCCACTGTAGGCCATGTAGTTCTAGAATGTACATTTTTTAACTACCATGGTATATTTTCACTCCAGTAATACTCGCTCTGTTATTACTGATGATCTCTGGTTGACTATAACCAGTTAAGGTAATACATTAACAAATTTTCTTTAAGTCACACCGATACGTTTTGCTTCAGGGTAGATGTGAATTAATAGAATTGGAAGGTCTGACTTGAACTACCTTTTCTCATTCTTTGAATTTTTATAGTACTTTAATACACAGAATTTACCATGATCAAATAAGTAATGCTAAATACTTCATATAACTTTTTGATTCTCATTTTGTTTCTTGAGGGTGCATCACTTCCTGTTTTTTTATAGGCTTTGCACCTGGTACGTAGTAGGCAATCAGTAAATGCTTATTGAATAGGTAACGATGATGAAATAGCATTTTATAATATACAAGATTATGTACATATAATAAATAAACTTATTAGGTATATAACAGGTGAATTGTAAAGTACAGATTTTGGGGCAAATGCCCAGAATGGAATCAACTGCAGAGGTCTACGAGGGATATGAAAATTTTGTCTTGAGTAATGTATCTTCAGTTTTATCTTGTTTCTTCATATACTCATGATGAGTGTTGGGTAGGGAAATGCATTTAAAGAAAGTTATGTCTGAGATATGACAAGAATACATTTTCAGAAGGCATTATTAGTTCAAGGGAAGAAATACTTCACATTTATAAAGATAAGTCAAATATGTAGTATTGCATTTATTTGCTGCTGAAAGAAACCAGGAGTCAAATGACCTGCTACTTTTAATGACATTTTTAAGTTTACGAACAAACATTTTGCAGTCAGTTGTGAATTTAATAGTTATGTATCATAGAAGCTAAAGAGTAATTTTTAATCTACGTTCAGTCCTTCCACTGAAAAAGTATATAGCTGTTTTCATGGCTGGGCGTGGTGGCTCACACTTGTAATCCCAACACTTTGGAAAGGCCGAGGTAGGTGGGTCACCTGAGGTCAGGAGTTTGAGACCAGTTTGGCCAACATGGTGAAACCCCGTCTCTACTGAAAATACAAAAATAGCCAGGCATGGTGGTGCATGCCTGTAGTCCCTGCATGCCAGGAGGCTGAGGCAGAAGAATTGCTTGAACCACTGAGATAGCACCACCGCACTCCAGCTTGGGTGAAACAACGAGGCTCCCATCTCAAAAAAAAAAAGTATATAGCTTTTTTCAATCATGTAAATGTGTATGTAATTGGCTAAAACATTGGTGTTGTTCTGTGTTATTACATTGTCTTGTTATGTACAGATAAGGAAAGTTTTTGATTATTTTTTGCACTTGACCCTCCTAAAAAGTGATTGCCTAGGTGACACTGGAAAATTCTAAGAAATGTTTTCAGAGTCTCTTCTTGAGATTAACAAACAAGTCTTTGGGGGCCAAGGAATTCACTATGCAAAGGTAGAGATTCCTTTTCTTTTGGAAGAATTCAGTATTTATGGGCATGAATTTAGAACTACTTAAGAGAGAAAGACCTAGCTTAAGTTCCTTAATTAGAAGCATTTATTTGGTTTTAGGAAATCCTAAGGTCTTGAGGAGCCTAGAAAATGACTTTGACATTCATTTGCTACAGTTATTTTCTTTAACTTTTCACATGCATTTTCCTTTAAAAGAAGTCATTGTTAGTCTAGGAGGTTTGAGTACCGATAATGCCTGTGAAGTGGAGGGCAGGGGGAAAGGTTGGAGTCAGGAGATTTCTTGGAGAGGTGAAATGATCCTAATATGTGTAGGCTTCAATAGAACTCCTCCCATCCCCCCAATAAAAAATCTGAGATTGGTCTTGGGACAGATAATGGGGTAGATAATGAGGAATTTCTACCCTCAGTGTCCATTGGCATACTCATGCGCTGTAGTTACCCAGAGTTGTTTCCTGTCAGGCACTTAGTGCTTTCAATAGATGAAGTTGCAATTTACCATAATATAATAATGAAATCGATAAATCAAGAAAAAAACAGTAATAGAAACATTTTGAAATACAGAAGGCCAGGTTTAAGGATTAATCACTTTTATGGTATTATTCTAATATTAATTGTATATTATTGTTCCATGATGGCATCTTAAAGGTTTAGTGATTTGTTGGTTTTTTTCTTTTTTGAGACGGAGTTTCGCTCTTGTTACCCAGGCTGGAGTGCAATGGTGCGATCTCGGCTCACTGCACCGTCCGCCTCCAGGGTTCAGGCAATTCTCCTGCCTCAGCCTCCTGAGTAGCTGGGATTACATGCGCGTGCCACCATGCCCAGCTAATTTTTTGTATTTTTAGTAGAGATGGGGTTTCACCATGTTGACCGGGATGGTCTCGATCTCTTGACCTCGTGATCCACCCGCCTCGGCCTCCCAGAGTGCTGGGATTACAGGCTTGAGCCACCGCGCCCTGCCTTGTTTTTTTTTTTTTTTTTTTAATTTTTTTCCCAGGATTACCCAACAGGCAAGTATTTACTTATTTTAAAGATATGTGCTGGCCAGGTGCGGTACCTCATGCCTGTAATCCCAAAACTTTGGGAAGCCGAGGTGGGGCAGATCGCTTGAGCCCAGGAGTTAAGACTAGCCTGGGCAACATGGTGAAACCCCATCTCTACGAAAAATAAAAAAATTAGCCAGCATGGTGGCACGGCCTGTAGTCCTAGCTACTCAAGAGGCTGAGGCAGGAGGATCTTCGCTTGAGCCTGGGAGGCGCAGGTTGCATTGAGCCGAGATCTTATCGCTGCACTCCAGCCTAGGTGACAGATGATATATGGATTCTTAAATTTTTAAGTTTTAAAATTTAAGTTCAGTTAAAATAATGTGGGTTTAACTTAGATATAGTTGATACCTTAAATCCTCTACAGAATTAGCACTTTTCTTTTTTCTGAGATGGGGTCTCGCTCTGTCACCTAAGCTGGAGTCCAGTGGTAAGATCTCGGCTCAGTGCAGCCTGAGCCTCCTGGGCTCAAGCGAAGATCCTCCTGCCTCAGCCTCTTGAGAAGCTAGGACTGTAGGCATGTGCCACTGTGCCGGCTAATTTTTTTATTTTTCGTAGAGATGGGGTTTCACCATGTTGACCAGGCTGGTGTTAACTCCTGGGCTCAAGCGATCTGTCCCACCTCAGCTTCCCAAAGTTCTGGGATTATAGGCATGAGGCACCGCACCTGGCCAGCACATATTTTTTAAATAAGTAATACTTGCCTGGTGGTCCTGGGGCAAAAAATTTTTTTTCTGTAAAAAAAAAACAACCAATGAATCACAGTAGTATATTGGTTATAGTAAAAGAAGTGCTGTCCTAAAAGAACTTAAATTTGAGTTCAAGATGTTAACAATTGTCTGTTTAGGTGCGATTATGGGTGATTTATATATTTTTTTATTTTTCTGTAATACATTACTTTTCTTAGTTTCCTTCTTAGAATCTTACTGTTGCCACTGATTTTGTAATAGAAATATATTTTGAGACTGGTGCAGTGGCTCACGCCTGTAATCCCAGGACTTTGGGAGGCTGAGGTGGGTGGATTACGAGGTCAGGAGTTCAAGACTAGCCTGGCTAACATGGTCAAACCCTGTCTCTACTAAAAATACAAAAGATTAGCTAGGCGTGGTGGCGGGTGATTGTAATCCCAGCTCCTCAGGAGTCTGAGGCAGAGAACTGCTTGAATGATGGAGGTGGAGGTTGTAGAGCCGAGATCATGCCGCTGCACTCCAGCCTGGGCAACAAAGCGGGACTCCATCTCAAAAAAAAAAAAAAAGATACATTTTGAAAGAAAGCTATAGTGATGATGTAATATCTAGGAAAATATAAGCCAATATAAAATGATATCTTGGAGATACTGACAAGCTGGAGCAGCAAAACCACCCATGGGCTTGGGCATTATTTAGAGTGTAAAAATGAACTCATAGCCCCTATTTCAAACACGCTTTAAATTCTCAGCTACTTTCTTCTAAGTTTAAACCACCAATTACTGGGGAAAGGGACAGTTAGATTTTTTTGGTTGCCTTTGTTTTTGTGTTTTCATTGATACTTGTTGAAAAGTAGGGGAATTGGGTTAGTTGAAAAAGCAAAAATACTAAAAATCTACCCCTAAACTCTTCAAGTCAACAGTTTGTCTAGACTGTATAAAATTAAAGATAATGAACTACCTAATCTATAGAGGTCTTTTTAATTCCAAAGTTACTTAAGTGTGTTTCTTAATAATGTCGCTGAGGCCAGTGTTGCTTAATGCAGGAACTTCTACAGTAACTGGCAAAACTTAAGTTCTGCTCTCATTTATCTATCCTTCAGACAGCTCAGATCTCATCCATTTCCTGAAGTCTGACTTCTCCAATTGTTGCAGTAGATGTTTGTTGATTTACTAGGCTGGATTGATGTTACAGAATTGGTGATCTTGGTTGGGTGTGGTGGCGCATGCCTTTAATCCCAGTACTTTGGGAGGACATGGCAGACAAATGTCTTGAATTCAGGAGTTGAAGACCTGCTTGAGTAATATGGTGAAACTCCGTCTCTCTGAAAAAAAAAATACAAAAATTAACAGGGCGTGGTGGCATCTGCCTGTAGTCCCAACTATTTGGGAGGCTGAGCTGTGAGGGTGGTTTGAGCATGGGATTTCAAGGCTGTAGTAACATACAATTGCACCACTGCACTCCAGCCTAGGCAAGAGCATGAGGCCCTGCCTTGAAAAAGGGGGAGATGGGGGTTCTGATCTTGGCTAGATATCTGTTTTGATTGTTAGGATGAATTGTATTGGTAGTATTTTCTAAAATGTGATATCCAAATAAACTTGTTGATTAATCTCGAATAGGGAGAGACTCTGAAAACTTTTCTTAGAGTTTTCCAGTGTTACCTAGGCAATCACTTTTTATGAGGGTCAAGTGCAAAAAATAATCAAAAATTTTCCTTATCTGTATGTAATAAGACAGTGTAATATAAAACAGAACCACAACATCAGTGTTTTAGCCAATTATACAGTTAATATTAAGATTGAAAACAGCTACTCATTGTATCACCAAGGCTCGGCTCACTGCAGCCTCCACCTCCTGGGTTCAAGCATTTCTATTGCCTTGCCCTCCTGAGTAGCTGAGACTATAGGCATGCACCATCATGCCTGGCTAATTTTTGTATTTTTAGTAGAGATAGGGGTCTCACTATGTTGGTCAGGCTGGTCTCAAACATATGAGTTCAGGTGATCTACTGGCCTTGCTTCCCAAAGTGCTGGGATTATAGGTGTGAGCCACCGTGCCCGACCTCAGTTTTTAAATTCTAAAAATAGATGTCCTAATGTGGCCAGTGAGAGATTTTATTTTTGTAATTCTAATGTTCTTTCAAATAAAATGGTATGTAGAGATTTTCTTTTCTGACAACATTTGATTGTTTAAAAACTGAAATTTGGCTGGGCGAGTGGCTCACGCCTGTAATTTCAGCACTTCAGGAAGCCAAGGTGGGCAGATCACCTGAGGTCAGGAATTTGGGACCAGCCTGACCAACATGGTGAAACCCCTTTTTACTAAAAGTACAAAAAATTAGCTGGATGTGGTGGTGAGTGCTTGCTTTTTGAAAAAACAAAAACAAAAATCTTAATTTAATTTGAATTAAAATTTTCTACTTTTTAATTTCATATATGATTTGTTTTGTTTGTGTTTGAGACGGAGTCTTGCTCTCTCACTCAGGCTGGAATGCAGTGGCGTGATCTTGGCTCACTGCAACCTCTGCCCCCTGAGTTGAAGCAATTCTCCTGCCTCAGCCTCCCGGGTAGCTGAGATTACAGGCACATGCCACTACCGCCCAGCTAATTTTTGTGTTTTTAGTAGAGATGGGGTTTTATCACGTTGGCCAGGCTGGTCTTGAACTCCTAGCTTCAAGTGATCTGCCCACCTTGCCCTCTCAAAGTGGTGAGATTACAGGCGTGAACCACTGTGCTCGGCCTTCAAATGTTTTTTAATGGACCTTCTAACTCAGTAGATGCCAGAAATCAAAATCATGTGTTCAGTATTTGAAATTACAGTATTTTGATATTCAAACTACATCTATCAGATTGCCTGTTGAACCCAAGAACTGTTTTTTTTTTTTTTCAGTTATTCTAGTTTTTAATTTGAAAAAGCGTTAGTTTGGTTTGAAAAATGTTCTTTTAGCCATTTTTATTAAACTTTATGCCAAAAAAATTAATGTATGTCAGAAAGTATTAGTAATTATGGAAATTTTGTCTTTGGATAGGCTCGCATGTCTTGGGATAGAGAGTCAACTGAAATACGGTACCGTCGACTTCAACATTTGCTTGAAAAAAGCAATATCTACTCCAAATTTTTATTGACGAAAATGGAACAGCAACAATTAGAGGTATGTATATGTAACTGACTATACGTGAAGGCTTAAAAAAATTTTTTTTAAATAGCTTTATTGGCCAGGCGCAGTGGTTCATGCCTGTAATCCCAGCATTTTGGGAGCCCGAGGTGGGCGGACTACCTGAGGTTGGGAGTTCAAGACAAGCCTGACCAACATGGAGAAACCCTGTCTCTAGTTAAAAAAAAACAAAATTAGCTAGGCATGGTTGCGCATGCCTGTAATCCGAGCTACTTGTGAGGCTGAGGTAGGTGAATCACTTGAACCAGAGAGGCAGAGGTTGCAGTGAGCTGAGATCACGCCGTTGTACTCTAGCCTAGACAACAAGAGCAAAACTCTGTCTCAAAGAAACAAACAAAAATAGTTTTATTGACGTGTACAGTATATACAATATTTTATTTTATTTTAGTTAATTAATTAATTTATTTTTTGAGACGGGAGTTTAGCTCTTGTTACCCAGGCTGGAGTGCAATGGCACGATCTCGGCTCACTGCATCCTCCGCCTCCAGGGTTCAGGCAATTCTCCTGCCTCAGCCTCCTGAGTAGCTGGGATTAGGGACACGCTACCATGCCCAGCTAATTTTTTGTATTTTTAGTAGAGACGGGGTTCACCATGTTGACCAGGATCGTCTCGATCTCTTGACCTCGGGATCCACCCACCTCAGCCTCCCAAAGTGCTGGGATTACAGGCGTGAGCCACCGCGCCCGACCCCATTTTATACAGTAAAATGTACAGATTCTAAGTTTACAGTTTGTTGAGTTTGACTAGTAACATATAGACCTGTGTAACCACCAGCACAATCAAGACACAGTGCATTTCCGTGAACTCCAAAAAGTTGTTTTGTGCTGGCAGTGATCCCCACAGCTGGTGTCCAGCAACCACTGATCTGTTTTATGTCACTATAGACCATTATTGTTTTACCCTAGAAAATTCTATAAATTAAATCATGGTATTGTGCTATTGTGAGCAAATAGTTGGTCTTCATTACCATTTCCTGGTATACAACTCTTGAAATCCCTGGAATCTTCGAAGTAATAGTGGCTTTATTAATGCTAACGATCGATGGCTTAGGTACTAGAAAACCTGGATTAGAGGGTTAGCATTTATCCTTACCCTCAATCTTGAGGAAAAGAAGAGAGACTAATCATCATGCCTATGTTATAAAGCCTTCATTAAAAACCCAGAAGGGCTGGGTGTGGCTCACACCTCTAACCTCAGCACTTTGGGAGGCCTCGGTAGGCAGATTGCTTGAGCCTGGAAGTTTGAGACCAGCCTGGACAACATGGCAAAATTCTGTCTATACCAAAAATAGAAAAATAAGCTAGGTGAGGTGGCATGTTCCTGTAGTCCCAGCTGCTTGGGAGGCTGAGGCAGGAGGATTGTTTGAGCCCAGGAGATTGAGGCTGCAGTGAACCATGATGGCACCACTGCACTCTAGTCTGGGTGACAGAGCAAGACCCTGTCTCAAAAATAAAGCAGGCTGGGTGCAGTGTCTCATGCCTGTAATCCCAGCACTTTGGGAGGCCAAGATGGGCGGATCACTTGAGCCCAGGAGTTCAACACCAGCCTGAGCAACATGGTGAAAACCCATCTCTGTCAAAAATATAAAAGTTAGCTGGGCATGGTGGTACGTGTCTGTCACCCCGGGGACTTGAGAGGCTGAGGCAGAAGGATCGCTTGAATGCAGGGGAATCACTTGAACTCAGGAGGTGGAGGTTGCAGTGAGCCGAGATCACAATACTGCACTGTAACCTGGGCAAGCAAGTGAGACTGTGTCTCAAAAATAAATAAAATAAATAAAAATAAAACAACCCAAAAGGACAGGGTTTGGAGAATTCCTGGAGAGCTGAACACATGGAGGTTCCTGGAGAGGGTGGTGCACCCAGAAAGGGCATGGAAGCCCTGCACTTCTTCTGTACATCTCTTTCTCTTGTGTTCATCTGACTCCTTTGTACTATTTTTATTTTTTTGAGACAGAATCTTACTCTCTTGCCCAGGCTTGAGTTTGGTGCACCATCTTAGCTACAATCTCCGACTACTCGGTTCAAGCATTCCTTCCACCTCGGTCTCCCCAGTAGCTGGGACTGCAGGAGCACACCATTATGTCTGTCTTATTTTTGTATTTTTTGTAGAGACACACAGTTTTGCCATGTTGCCGAGGCTTGTCTGGAACTCCTGGGCTCAAGTGATCCACGTATCCTGGCCTCATAAAGTGCTGGGATTACAGGTGTGAGCCACTGCCCCCAAACTGTCCTATTCTTTATAATAAACCGGTAAACATTAATGTTACTTTGAGTTCTGTGAGCTCCTCTAGCAAATTAGTCAAACCCCAAGAGGGGCTTGTCAGAACCCTGATTTATCACTACTCAGTGAGAAGTACAGGTAAAACAACTTGGGCCTTGTGATTGGCATCTGAAATTGGTGGGGAAAGTCTTGGTGATTTGATTCTATCACCTGGTACATGGTGTGTGTCAGAATTGAATTCCAGTAGAGGACACCCAGCTGGTGTTACTGCAGATAAGCTTGTTGGGTGTACAGGGAAAACCCTCACACATTGGGTCACAGAAGTCTTTTGTGTTGATTGTTGAGTATGTAGGGAGAAACTGAGTTTGTTTTTTTCTCAATATTCTTTTAGATATGCATTCTTTGTCTTGTTACTTTTGCTCAGCATCTTTTTGAGATTTATTCATTCTCTGTCTTTCAGGGGGTCGTTCTTTTTATTCCTGAGAAGGATTCCATTTTTAAAATGTTATCATTGGGGTGTGATTGACATACACTAAACTGCACATATTTAAAATGTACAATTCCCTAAGTTTTGTTACATGGATATACTTGTGAAGGCATAACAATCATGATAGTGGACATAGCCACTGATTCCAAAGAAGTCTTTCTGCTCATGTATAATTCTTCTCCCTCATCCGTACCCCATGTTCTATCCACAGATAGCCAATTGCTCTGTTTTCTGTTATTATAGATTTGCATTTTCTGTTGGTGATGGGTTCTTTTAGCTTTCATTGAATGTCTTCACTTACTTTCATTTTTGAAATAGATTTTTACTGGGTAAAGAATTTTTTTCTTCAGTACTTTATTTCTTGGAGTACTTTAAAGATGTTATACTATCTCCTAGCTTATGTTGTTTCTGAAAAGTGAAAGTCCCGATAATGTCTATATGTCTGTAAGCAATTTGACTGCCTTTCTCAATGCCATTACCATTCAGACCCCCTGTCTTGGGCTTTTGTGGTTGCTGTTTTCTGCCTGGAACCTTCTTCCTCTAAATAACTGCATGGCTTAACTTCATCTTTGAGCTTTGACTGACATGGTTTCTAGATGAGACCTGCTCTCACAATTTTAAGGAAGTTGCTAACACACTTGATTCTCTTTACCTTGTTCTTTTCTTCCCATTGCACTTTTCATCTGATATACATCATTTATTGTATTTATTGTTTGCCTTTCCACTCCCCGTTATGAAGATTTAAAAACTTGTGCAAATGGAGAGAATATAGTAAGTCCCTGTGTCCCCGTCACCCACATTTAACAATTGTCAATTGAAATTTTGCTTTTTGTCAAATCTCCTTTTTTCTTTGTTTGAATGCCTTTTATTTTTTATGGTAAAATAAGACAAATGGAAAAACAAATACTCAATGAGTTACATAGCATCTACCCCTTTCACCACCTCTTGGAACTGGTTTGAATTTTTTGGTGTCTTAAAAATTGGTGAGGGTATGTCTAGAATAGCTTTTAGTCTAGGAATAAGTTGATCTCTTTTCTGAGCACTCTACTTGATTGATGCCCTGTATATTAAGAGGACTTTCTACTTTGGCTGAGAGAATGTGAGGTATACCTTATTATGGCTGACCCCCTTGGAACAAGGGAGGTTCCACCTGTTTCTTTCTGGTGACTCTTCTGGTCTTGGTTACCATGAGCTTATCAGTACTCAGCCTGAGAAGGAGATAACAGCTGGCTTTGTGCATCTTTGTCCTCTCTGGTACTTGACCCTGGGAGGGCTACTGCTCTTAAGTTTTGGATTCTGTCTCAACACAAAGAGACAGTTGGGCTCTGTTTGGATTTTTCTCCATTATTTGTCCTTTAAAATTGTATCAGGCAGTAAGCTGGGCAGTCAGAAGATTAACCTTGTTTCCCTTTTGTCAGTGTTTGCAATCGTTACTGCATGTTGCTTGAAAACCATTGTTTAATAAATGTTAACTGGATTTTAGTTGTTTAAGGCAGGAGGATAAATCTGTCCCATTACTCCACAAAGGCAAGTTCCTCCCTGTTTTTTAATTATGATAGACCTTAGTTTCTTCATTGTAAACATAAATTATTTGAGAATTGATATGTGTGTTTTTTTTTTTCATGTTGCACTTCCCACTTGTGACAAGAAAAATATATCTTACAGGAACAGAAGAAGAAAGAAAAATTGGAGAGAAAAAAGGAGTCTTTAAAAGTTAAAAAGGTAATATAGCCAGCCAGAATATTTTTTGTCATTTAAATATTGAAGACATACTTTTGTATTCTTCTGGCTCTTTTGATTGTCTGTTTAATTTTGACTTTGTTTAATGATAAACCTTACTTTGATACAAGCAATGCAGAATCATGTCAAGTCTATTCCTCACTATTTAAGAAATGGAGAAAGAGCCAAAGTATGATCCTTTAGTTTCTTATTCCATGGATTATTTTTGATGATGACACAATTTGACTTGCTTAATTGGAAAGAATCTGCAAATTTAAACTTCAAGGCATTTTATAAGTAGCCATTTTATTTGGAGCGCATAATGAAGTTGTGTTAGTTAAAAGAGAAATAATAAAGGTCACATTTATTGAGTACTTATTGTGTGTCAGGTTAATGGTGTCTCAGCCTCCTGAGTAGCTGGGATTACAGGCACACGCCATGATGCCCAGCTAATTTTTTGTATTTTTAGTAGAGACGGGGTTTCACCATGTTGACCAGGATGGTCTCGATCTCTTGACCTCGTGATTCACCCATAGGCCGTGACATAAAAAATATTCTTGGCCTCCCAAAGTCCTGGGATTACAGGCGTGAGCCACCGCGCCTGGACCTGCTTCCAGTTATTTTCAATGCTAACCTGCCTTTAATAGGAAATATCAGAATTCCAATAGGCAGAATAGCTACGGTAGTTTTTAATTTCAGTTATTTGATTCTTAGGCTAGTTAATGGTGATGTTAAAATGCCTGATAAAGTATTTTGTAGACTATTTTGCAACAAAACCCATTATTTAAAACTGGTAATTCTGCTAGGCCTTTTGGCTCATGCCTGTAATGCTAGGTAATTCTGCTAGGCCTGGTGGCTCATGCCTATGATACTTTGGGAAGCTGAGGCACATGGATTCCTTGAGGTCAGAAGTTTGAGACCAGCCTGGTCAACATGATGAGACCCTGTCTCTGCTAAAAATACAAAAATTATCTGGGTGTGGTGGTGCGTGCCTGTCGTCCCAGCTACTTGAGAGGCTGAGGTGTGGGTATCACTTGAACCCAGGAGGTAGAGGTTGCAGTGAGCTGAGGTTGCGTCACTGCACTCTAGTCTGGGCGACAGAGGGAGACTCTGTTCCTAAGTAAGTAACTAAAACTGGTAATACTGAGTCTACTGAGAGAGAGTACTAAAAAAAAAAAAAAAAAAAAAAGAAAGAAATGGGCCGGGTGCGGTGACTCATGCCTGTAATCCCAGCACTTTGGTAGGCCAAGGCTGGTGGATCACCTGAGGTCAAGAGTTTGAGACCAACCTGCCCATCATGGTGACACCCAGTCTCCATTAAAAATACAAAAATTAGCTGGGCATGATGGCAGGTCTCTGTAATCCCAGCTACCCTGGAGGCTGATGCAGGAAAATCACTTGAACCTGGTAGGTGGAGGTTGCCCTGAGCTGAGTTCATGCTATTAGACTGTACCCTGGGTGACAGAGCAAGACTGTTTAAAAAAAAAAAAAAAAAAGCAGCCTGCTGACACTTAACTCATTTGCTAGCTCCAGAGACTTACCTAGGGCTTTTAAGATTATTATTTTCATACAGAGAGGGCTTCACTATGTTGCCCAGGCAGGTCTCAAACTTCTGGACTCAAGCTATCCTCCCTGACCCCCACCCTCACCAGTACCCCTGCCTTGGCCTCCGAAAGTGCTGGGATTACAGATGTGACCTAGCACACCTGGCCTTTCCAAGGGCTTGAAGAACATGTTTTTATTTTTACAGTTATTTTATTGGTGTAGTCATTTCTTCTCTGCTCTTTAACCTGTTAATTTAATATATACAATATATCCTTAACTTTATTTCACCTAACCTTTTTTTTTTTTTTTTTTTTTTTTTTGAGGTAAAATCTTGCTCTTGGGCCCCAGGCTGGAGTGCAATGGCTTGATCTTGGCTCACTGCAACCTCTGCTCCCAGGTTCAAGTGATTCTCCTGCCTCAGCCTCCCAAGTAGCTGGGATTGCAGGCACTTGCCACCATGCCTGGCTAATTTTTGTATTTTTAGTAGAGACGGAGTTTCACCTTGTTGGCCAGGCTGTTCTTGAACTCCTGATCACAGGTGACCTACCCACATTGGCCTCCCAAAGTGCTAGGATTACAGGTGTGAACCACCTTGCCTGGCCAGTTCCACCTAGCTTTTTATACCAGGGTTTTGATTTTTTTCCCCCTCTGCATTTTTCTTAAACATGTCAGCTATTAAATTCTGCCTACTCTTATCGTACCAGTTCTTTTTCAGTATTTTCTTGTTTAATCTTCAGACTTTGTGACTTAATTTTAAAATTCATTATATATTTTTTTGTCATTTTGATTTATCATACATGTTGTTCACCTATTCTTGATATAATACTTTCCCAACTCTTATTTTGAAACAAAAAAATTTTTTTAGAAGTGATGTCTCACTAGCCTAGCCTAGAGTTCACTAGCACCGTAGTAGCTCACTGTGGCTTTGAACTGCTGGGCTCAAGCCATCTTCCCAACTCAGCCTCCTGAGTAGCTGAGACTACAGGTGCATACCACCATGCTCAGCTAATTTTTAAATTTTTGTAGAGTGGGTGTCTTGCTTTGTTGCTCAAGCTGGTCTTGCACTCCTGGCTTCAAGCAGTCCTACTACCTAGTCCTCCTAACGTTCTGGGATTATAGGTTTGAGCCACTGTACCTGGTTGGAACTTTTTTTAACATCTCATTTCCCTTGCCTTCCTCACTAATAATTTTCTATTAGTATTCTCTTTTGTTTCTACTTTGAGTTGTAGTTAATGTATGAATTTCATTCACAGTGAATATTCCTTCAAGACTCAACCTATTGAATATCTTAGCGTGATGTACAGTTAAAGGTGTACTAGGTTTTTTTTTTTTGAGATGGGAGTGTCACTCCGTTGCCAGACTGGTGTGCAGTGGCACAATCTTGGCTCACTGCAACCTCCGCTTCCTGGGTTCAAGCGATTCCCCTGCCTTAGCCTCCCAAGTAGCTGGGACTGCAGGTGCTCGCCACCACGCCTGGGTAATTTTTTTGTATTTCAGTAGTGACGGGATTTCACCATGTTGGCCAGGATGGTCTTGATCTCCTGACCTTGTGATCCACCCACCTTGGCCTTTCAAAGTGTTGGGATTACAGCCGTGAGCCACCGCGCCCAGCCAGATGTACATGGGATTTCTAAATAAAAATGCCAACTATAGGCTGGACGCAGTGGCTCACGCCTGTAATCCCAGCACTTTGGGAGGCTTAGGTGGGCGGATCACCTGATGTTAGGAGCTTGAGACCAGCCTGGCCAACGTGTTGAAACCCTATCTCTACTAAAAATACAAAAATTAGCCAGATGTAGTGGTGAGCGCCTGTAGTCCCAGCTACTCGGGCGGCTGAGGCAGGGGAATCGCTTGAACCCAGGAGGCGGAGTTTGCGATGAGCCGAGATCACGCCATTGCACTTTAGCCTGGGTGACAAGAGTGAAACTCCGTCTCCAAAAAAAGGAAACAAATTGCCAACTATGTTTAATTTTGAAATTTCTCTTCTAAATGGAAAAAAAATTGATGGAAGTAGAGCACTTGGAAAACAAATTATGAACAAGTTGTAGGGAAATACAGAAAAAGATTACATGTATGTAAGTATAATAGTGAAAAATTGGATGTGGCTTAACTAAGAAACTTTTCTCAAGTTAATCGGTGCCTTTTAATGTACAATACCATAAAGGTCCTTAGTAAAAACAATATTCTGAATCCTTGTTTTGTAGGGTAAAAATTCAATTGACACAAGTGAAGAGAAGCCAGGTAAATATCCTTATTGCAGTTTTGAAGAATATGTGTTTATATTTTTATTTTAATTGCTATAAAAAACAAAATATTCTTTTTTATAGTCATGAGAAAGAAAAGAGGAAGAGAAGATGAAACATACAATATTTCAGAGGTCATGTCAAAAGAGGTAAAAATAAAGGGAGAGAGCACTAACATTTGATGTTGTGTAAAATGTAGGTTTTGATCCACCTTAAAGCTGTAAGGATTGAATATTCTGTATCACATGTTTTTAATTTAATATTATGTATAATTTATAGGTGAAGCTGCCAAAATGTTTGATGCTGTCTACCAACCTTCAGTAGACTTAAGACTAATCTGTAACTAATGTCATCTGACCTTCATAGACTTTTCTTTTTTTGTTGAAATGGAACTCTGTGGCCCATGCTGGGACACAGTCTCGGCTCACCACAATCTCCATCTTCTGAGTTCAAGTGATTCTCCTGCTTCTGCCTCCCGAGTAGCTGTGATTACAGGTGCCCACCACTCTGCCCAGCTCATTTTTTAATTTTTAGTAGAGATAGGGTTTCATTGTGTTGGCCAGGCTGGTCTGGAACACCTAACCTCAGGTGATCTGCCCACCTCAGTCTCCCAAAGTCCTGGGATTATAGGTGTGAGCCACCACTCCTGTCCTTTTATTTTTTAAGTGGCAAATAGGATTATACCTTTAGGTTGTTCTGGTTTTCTTTTTTCTTTCTTTTCTTCCTTCCTGCCTTTCTATCTTCCTTTTCCTTCTTTTCTTTGTTTTTTTAAGACAGGGTATCACTCTGTGACTTAGGCTATAGTACAGTGGCACAGTCGCAGCTCACCTCAGCCTCCACCTCATAGGTTCAAGTGATCTCCTACCTCAGCTCCCTGAGTAGCTGGGACTACAGGTGTGTGACACCATGTACAGTTGGCTAATTTTTAAATTTTTTGTAGCAATGAGGTCTCATGTTGCCTAGGCTACTCTTGAACTCCTGGGTTCAAACAGTCCTCTTGTGTCAACCTCCCTGAGAATACAGGTGTGAACCAGTGTGCCCTGCTTTATGCTGGTTTTCTTATTTGGGTTATTATAGCTAACAGTAATAGCTCTGACTACCAATTATCTTGTGCTTAAGTACCTAGTGAACTTATATAGCATTTTTCCAGGAACTATGGAAACAACAGGTGTGGGAATAGAGCTTAAAATTACATCTAATAGCTGGGTGTAGTGGCTCATGCCTGTAATCAGGCAGGTGGATCATGAGGTCAGGGGTTCAAGAGCACCCTGACCAACATGGTGAAACCCCATCTCTACTTAAAAATACAAAAATTAGCCTGGCGTGGTGGTGCACACCTATAATCCCAGCTACTTGGGAGGCTAAGGTAGGACAATCACTTAAACCTGGGAGGCGGAGGTTTCGGTGAGCTGAGAGCTCACCATTGCACTCTAGCTTGGGTGACAGCAAGACACCCATTTAAAAAAAAAAAATACATCTAATAGGTTGCAGAGAAGTTGGGAGAAAGGGTGGGGTTAGTAAAGACACTATCTGACCAGAGCAGAGAGGTGTTTTAGGGAAGAAGATGGTACCAGCTGTAAAAGGAGTGTGAATCTGGCCTAGTTAGAAATTATTACTATAATTTAAATTTTTATAACCCCAACCTTGTCTTAAGAACTTTATTCTTTTTCCTTGTTGAAGACTTTTACAAAACTTAAATCATATGCTCATTTCTGAAACCAGATTCTTTTTTTCTTTTCTCACTTTTTATATCAAAATATGAATGAATTAGAGCATCTTCAGTTCTGACAAACCTTAAATGTTTCTTAGCATGTTTTTAATGTGTCACATTCTTCTTTGTTTTTCCTTGGAAACAGTCTCCCTCTGTATCCCAGGCTGTAGGGCAATAGTGTGATCTAGGCTCACTGCTGCAACCTCTGCCTCCCAGGTTCAAGCGATTCTTAGGCCTCAGCCTCCGAGAAGTTGCCTACCACTACGCCCAGCTAATTTTTTGTATTTTTAGTAGAGACAGGGTTTTGCCATGTTGGCCAGGATAGTCTTTAACTCCTGATCTCAGGTGATCCTCCTGCCTTGGTCTCCCAAAGTACTGGGATTACAGGCGTGAGACACCATGGCCGACCACATTCTTACATTCAAAAAAAGACCAACCATATTGTCTACTGTTGTTCTTTTACCTGAAGTTCAAACTCTTTAAATCTTCATAAGAAAATTTTATATAATACCTTTCCTTTTCTCTAGGGATGCAGTGATAGTTTTTCATTTAAAAATAAGTCAAGGGGTCAAGTGCTGTATATCACACCTGTAATCTCAAAACACTGGGAAGCTGAGACGTGTTGGTCACGTGAAGCCAGGAGTTTGAAACCAGTCTGGCCAACATGGTGAAACCTCGTCTCTACTAAAAATACAAAAGTCAGCTGGGAGCGGTGGTATGCATCTGTAGTCCCAGCTACTCAGGCGGCTGAGGCAGGAAGATTGCTAGAACCTGGGAAGTCGGAGGTTGCAGTGAGCTGAGATCGAGCCACTGCACTCCAGCTTGGGCAACAGAGCAAGACACTGTCTCAAAAAAAAAAGTCAAGACCTACTAAAATTGATTATGGTATCTACTCAACTTGCAGTTTAAAAAACACTTTTAGGCTGGGCATAGTGGCTCACTCTAATCCAGCATCTAGGGAGGCCGAGGCTGGTGGCTCTCCTGAAGTCAGGAGTTAATTGACTTCTATAATCCTAGTCTAGTTCTCATTTATTGTCAAAAGTACCAGATTGGTTTTTCTGAAATTTAAATTTAATTACTCTTACCCTCTATTACTTTTTAGGGTTTCACAAGGAATTGCATTTTCTTAATGAAACATGTGAAAATAAACAAAATATAAGAAAATCACCTGAAAAGCTGTCACACAATCACTAACATTTTGGTATAATGTATATATTTTTTGTTTGTGTTATGGAAAATCTCAAAAATTACAAATGTATAGGGGATAGTAAGTTGATTGTCCACCTTTATTAGTTTTTAATTCTGGGATATTTTGAGAAAAATCTCAGCAAGACTATTTTTTAGAATCATAACCATAATAGTTATACTTTTGAAAGTTGATAGTAATTCCTTAGTGTTTAAATTTCTCAGTAGGCTAATTTTTATTTTTAGGGATGGGGGTCTCACTGTATTGCTGCGACTAGAGTGCAGTGGGTATTTCTGGGTATGGTCATAGTGACCACAGTGTCAAACACCTAGGCTCAAGTAACTCTCCTGCCTCAGTGTCCTCAGTAGCAGTCCAGGGACTATAGGCACTTCCCACTGAGATCTGCTTACCTGAAAGATTTTTAAAAAATAGTTCAAATCAGGATCCAAAAAAGTTTTATAAATTGCATTTGACTAATGTGTAACTGTGTATCTTGGCTCTCTTTTACATCTACAGTGTATCTCATCTTTTTGTGTGTGTGTGTGTGTGATGGAGCCTCACCAGGCTGAGTGCAGTGGTGCCATCTCGGCTAACTGCAATGTCCGCCTCCCATGTTCAAGTGATTCTCTACTTCAGCCTCCTGAGTAGCTGGGATTACAGGCATGTGTCACCACTCCTGGCTAATTTTTTGTACTTTTAGTAGAGATGGGGATTTCACCATCTTAGCCAGGACGGTCTTGATTTCCTGACCTCGGGATCTGACTGCCTCGGCCTACAAAAGTGCTGGGATTATAAGCTTGAGCCACTGTACCTGGCCATTTCTAATATTTTTTAAAAACATTATTTGTTGAAGAAAACAAGTAATTCTGTATCCCCACATTCTGGACTTTGCTGATTAAATTCCCATGATTTCTCTCCCTCTTGTGTTTCCTGTCAAGTATAAGTTAACTATCTAACTATAGTAACTATAAGTTACTATAGAAGTTTGTGATTGAGGGTTTTTTAATTTTTATTTTTTTGCAACAGGGTCTTGCTCTGTTGCCCAGGCTGGAGTGCAGTAGCACCATCTTGGCTCATTGCAACCTCTGCCTCCTGGGCACAGGCAGTCCTCCCCTCCTCATCCTCCTGAGTAGCTGGGACTACAGGCATGTACCACCAACCCCAGCTAACTTTTATATTTTTTTGTAGAGATGGGGGTCTCACCATGTTGTCCATGCTTGATAATTTTAACAGGAATGCTTCATTTGTGGCATTTATAAATTTTGATTTATCTCCAAATTGTTCTCCCAAGAGTTTCAGTTTATGTAGTCATTTTACAGGACAGCGTTGATCAATTCTTGGTATAAGATCCTTTAACCTCAGACTTAGTATATGAATATCTATACATGCATAATACTTCATACACATGATATATACATATTTCCACTTATGTATAGCCACTTATATGTCCTGTTACTCTTATATGAATCTTAAATTTGATAATGCTCTTTTGAATCTATTTCATCCCCTATGTCTTCTGTATTCTCCCTGCTTATAATCTACCCTCACTATCTTGAATGATGAAGCCTGGTGACAACTTTTTAGACAATTTTATGTAAGATAATTATTTGCTAAGTCACCCAGTGACACACTCAGGTATTGTTTGTCTCCCTACCATTAGCATGTAGTAGGTACTTCAAAATCAGAGAACACTTAATTTATTCTGTATTTTTAATGTATTTGTCTTTGCTTCTTACCCAGGAATGCAAACTCAGATTTCTGTCCACTGAGTCCTAATGTGGGCTATAACATGGTTTGGCAGACTTTGTCTGTAAATAGCCAGATAGTAAATATTTTAAGCTTTTGAGTAGGCTTTTGTTGTTATTGTTTGTTTTTTTGAGACTGCGTCTCAGTCTCTTGCCCAGGCTGGAGTGGAATGGCGGGATCTCATCTCTGCAACCTCCACCTCCTGGGTTCAAGCTATTCTTCTGCCTTAGCATCCCGAGTAACCGGGACTACAGGGACGCGCCACTACCCCCAGCTAATTTTTGTATTTTTATTAGAGATGGGTTTCACCATATTGGCCAGGTTGGTCTCAAACTCCTGACCTTGTGATCTGCCAGCCTCAGCGTCCCAAAGTGCTGGGAATACAGGCGCAAGCCACTGTGCCCGGCCTCTTTTGAGTAGTTGTTGTTGTTTTTTTTTTTTTTTTTTTTTGAGACAGAGTCTCACTCTGTTACCCAGGCTGGAGTACAGTGGCACAATCTTGACTCACTGTAACCTCCGCCTCCTGGGTTCAAGCAATTCTTCTGCCTCAGCCTCCTGAGTAGCTGGGATTACAGGTGCGCGACACCATGCCTGGCTAATTTTTGTATTTTTAGTAGCAATGGGATTTCATCATATTAGTCAGGCTGGTCTCGAACTACTGACCTTGTGATCCACCTGCCTTGGCCTTCCAAAGTGCTGGGATTACAGGCGTGAGCCACCACACCCGGCCTTCTTTTGAGTAGTTTTGTGGACAATTACTCAACCCTATACTCTGCTATTGTTGCTTGAAAGCAGCCACAGACAAACTGTAAACAAGTGAGGTTTTTTCCAGTTTATCCCCTTTCTTTGCTTTAAAAAAAAAAATACCTATATATTTGCTTAGCTGTAGTTGGCTACAGGCTGTAGACCCCAGGATTGGAGGTTTGTTGCCATGTGTGAATTTGTACTCAATCTACTCAGATTAAAAGACAAAAGAAAAAGCTGGAAAATTACGGTATTTGATGAAATATCCCATTGTATAAGTGTTGCCAAATTAGCTTAGAATGTTATAAAATATTATGAGCCAGTTATGTCTATATGCTGAAGGCCCCGAGTTTTCGATCTCTGTATTTTAATTATCTTGAGAATCTCATCCTCATTTCCTGGCAATATGAGCACAGAATAAATGCTTGTTGAATAAATAAATAAATGAACTGCCTACATTATTAATTTGTTTTTGTTTTCTCAATCTACTAGGAAATTTTGTCTGTGGTTAAAAAAAATAAAAAGAATGAGGTAAGATTTTTAATACAAAATTAAATTTAGAAGTCATTTATGCCCCAGTCACTAGTCCTTTTTCTTTAATCACCAGTGTACATTTTTCTCACTATCCCATTTCTTTGCTTTAAAAAAAACCCTATGTACTCACCTCTTCCATATCCTAACATTCTTCTTTCTTATTTATCAACTTTAGTTATGTGTTTTATTGCTGATTCTTGATGTGTAAATGTTAATTTATGAGTCTAGCAATGTGCTTTTATCTTCTGAGTCTGGCAATGATGCAAGTGCTTGTAACACCATATGGGTATAAACGGTGAGTCATCTTATGGAACCTGTGAGGGATGCCTTAATATTGCTTCTGACCTTAAAGACTTTTTTAAGTTTCTTAAAAGTTCTGGTTGAGAAGGCTTGGTTTTCGAGCCAACTCTTCGCTTACCCTCATTTTATTTAGAGAGTCTTCGTTATCTGATTTTTTTATGGCTTAAGTCCTTAAAATTACAAGGTTGCATAGGGAAGCAAAATATTCATGAATGGATATGAACTTCAAGTAGTTAATTTACATATCAAGGTTTTTTAGGCCTTTGGGAAGTTAATGTTATATTTATAAAATGAGAGATACTCTGGTCATCATATAATTTTGTTCAAAATTTATTCTATAAGTGTCTTGATTTTTATTCTTTTTTAAGTATAAGAACTGGTTTATGATTGTACTTATAACCTGCTGGTATAAATATAAGATCAAGGTCATTTTTATAACATTGAGTTAGATTTTTACAGTAAAAGTCTCAATGTAATGTATTGTAATCTACTATGGGATTTTAACCTCATTTTATAACTTAGAGTCAGTAAGTAAGAAATAGAAATAGTTCTTTTTTTCTTTTCTTTGAGATGGAGTCTGTCACCCAGGCTAGAATGCAATGGTGTGATCTTGGCTCACTGCAACCTCCACCTTGCAGGTTCAAGTGATTCTTCTGTTTCAGCCTCCCGAGTACCTATGGGCATGGAGATGGGGTTTCATCATATTGGCAAGGCTGGTCTTGAACTCCTGACCTCAGGTGATCTGCCCACCTTGGCCTCCCAAAGTGCTGGGATTACAGGTGTGAGCCACTGCACCTGGCCAGAAAGAGTTCTTAAGTATGTACTTTAATGAATTTTGACACATGCTGCATACACTTGTGTAACCACTATCCAAATCAAGGTATAGAACATTTCCATTGTAGAGGGATCTCTTCTGTCTTTCTAATTATTTTTCCACCTCTAAACCCAGAGGAGGCCACTTTGTATATCTTTTATAGGCTGGCTTATTATTTCCTTTCTACTCAACGTGTCTATGATACTCATTTATGTTGTTGAGCATATTAGTAACTGGTTTCTTTTTATTGTTGACTAGTATTCCATTGAATAAATATTAAAATTTTCTAATTCATCTCCTTATTGATAGACATTTGGGTTGTTTGCAATTTGTGACTTTTATGAGTAAGGCTGCTATGATCGTTTGTGTACAAGTCCATGTGTAGACATGTTTTCATACTTTTTGCCTGCATGCCTGGGAATGAAATTGTTGTGTTATATGCCAAATGTATGTTCATAAGAAAGTATAGATTTTTTTTTCCTAAACACGTCATTTTATTCTCTCACCAGCAATATATGAAGATTTCAGCTTACATTGTCAGCATTTGATATTGTTAGTCTTTTTAATTTCAGCCATTTTATTAGATGAGAAATGATATCTTGTGTTGTTTTTAACTTCCATTTTCCTAATTACTACTGAAGTAGAGTATGTTTTTATGTTCTTGATGGTTGTATGTTTTCTTTTGTAAAGTATCTGTTAATATCTTTCATCAGTCTTAAATGTACTGTATTTTCTCTTTAATAGTTTAGTTATTGAGTAGCGCAATATTAGAAGTTTAGAAGAGAAGTACAATTCTAATGGTCTTTTCAAAAGTATATGCCTGGTAATCATTTTAATTTGTAAAGGTTATTCTCAGATTTTTATGTTTGAAACAGAGTCTCCTGTCACCTAGACTGGAGTGTAGTGGTTGTGTTCATGGCTCACTGCAGTCTTGACTTCCTGGGCTCAAGTGATCCTCAGCCTCCCGAGTAGCTGGGATACAGGCACTTACATGCAACCACGCCCAGCTAATTTTTTGTAGAGACGGGGTTTCATCATGTTGCCCAGGCTGCTCTTGAACACTTGGACTCAGGTGATCTTCCTGCCTCAGCTTCCCAAAGTGCTGTAATTGTAGGATTAGCCACTGTGTCTGGCCTGTTATTATTTTTTTTTAGTGATTTTTCATTTGTAGAGGGATGGAGATATCTCCAGTTTTTAATCCACATGCAGTCTTATTTTTTGATACTTAATGACTTGGTAGATTTTGTTAGTCACATTTTCTGATAAATGGTGGCATAAGGCAGCATTTTGTATCAAACTTCTAATTAAAGTTTTTTCTTTACAGGATGAAAACTCCTCTTCTACTAATCTCTGTGTAGAAGATCTTCAGAAAAATAAAGAGTCGAATAGTATAATTAAAGATAGATTGTCTCAAACGGTTAGGCAGAATGCGAAATTCTTTTTTGACCCAGTCCGGAAATGTAATGGTCAGCCAGTACCTTTTCAACAACCAAAGCACTTCACAGGAGGAGTGATGCGATGGTACCAAGTAGAAGGCATGGAATGGCTTAGGGTAATGAATTATCATAATAAGATACTGGTTTATTTCTATAGTAGCATAGCAATGTGATGCACAACTTGAGTTATTTCTATCATGTTTCACTATTATATATTTGTGTGTGCATACTTACTTTCTAATTTCTTTACCCTGAATTTTTAGAAGTGGAAATTACCTTGTTAAAGCTTCCAACACTTTTATGGCTTTGATAAAGGACTTTTCACAGTGTTGTTATAATTTATGCTGTTTTTAACATAATTCTCATCTTTGGGTATGATTTTTTTTTAAAAAGAAGAAATAAACTATTACCCTGTAGGTGTTTATATCTGAATTTAAATGCAATATCTATTATTTTGTCTAGATGCTTTGGGAAAATGGAATTAATGGCATTTTAGCAGATGAAATGGGATTGGGAAAGACAGTTCAGTGCATTGCTACAATTGCATTGATGATTCAGAGAGGAGTACCAGGACCTTTTCTTGTCTGTGGCCCATTATCTACACTTCCTAACTGGATGGCTGAGTTCAAAAGATTTACACCAGATGTAAGACATGCTTCCTTATGTTAAAATTATAATTTTACATGTTATCTTCTGCTTTGTTGTTGTAGGAATTAAATTGTAGAACTTCTATAATTATATTGGTTCCTGTATAATTTTTGCATCTGATTTGACTTAATATGCGGAATACCCTAATTTAAATTTATATAGAATAGATTTTGGAAATCTCTGACATCTTTCCTGAAATATTCCCAAATGATTTTCAATGCATTGGTTAATTTGATTCAACTGAGACAGACTTAGGTAGAATTTTTATTTAAAATTCTGCTTGTTCTTCACTTAATCTTAGCATAAAGGCTGAGAAGTGAGTGAGTTTTTTTTTTTTTAACTTTTTTTCTTTACATGTTGTCTTCTGCAATTTTTAAATTTTATATATTTTTTTGAGATGGAGTCTCTGTTGCCCAGGCTGGAGGGCAGTGGTGTAATCTTGGTTCACTGTAACCTCTGCCTCCCATGTTGAAGCAATTCTTGTGCCTCAGCCACTTGAGTAGCTGGGACTACAAGCATGTGCCACCATGCCCAGCTAATTTTGTATTTTTAGTAGAGATGGGGTCTTGTCATGTTAGCCAGGCTGGTCTTGAACTTCTGGCCTGAAGATTTGCCCACCTTGGCCTCCCAAAATGCTAGGATTATAGTGTGAGCCACTGTGCCCCTCGTGCCCAGTCCTTCTCTGCATTTTTGCCCCATGCGAAATAGATATATTCTAGAAGTAGCATCACTGTCTCATTGTATATATTATTATTATATTTTGAGATGGATTCTTGCTCTCTTGCCAGGCTGGAGTACAGTGGCACGGTTTCAGCTCATTGCAACCTCTGCCTCCCAGGTTCAAGCAATTCTTCTGCCTCAACCTCCCAAGTAGCTGGGTTTACAGGTGTGCACCACCACACCTGGCTAATTTTATAGTTTTAGTAGAGATGGGGTTTCTCCATGTTGGTCAGGCTGGCCTCGAACTCGTCATCTCAACTGATTGGCCCCCCTTGGTTTCCCAAAGTGCTAGGATTAGAGGTGTGAGCCATCCTGCCCAGCTCGTATATTTGTTTTTCTGGCTATTTTTTTTTTTTTTTTTTTGAAGATAGGATGTTTTTCTGTCACCCAGACTGGAGGGCAGTGGTGCCATTCTGTCTCATTGTGACCTTCACCTCCCAGGCTCATATGTGAGAAGGCTCCCAGGGGTGCCTTCTCACACCCCTGAGTAGCTCATGTGAACCTCTCACCTCACCCCACTTGGTGAGTTGCTGGCACTACAGTTGCGTATCATCACATCCAGCTAGTTTTTGTATTTTTTATAGAAATGAGATTTTCTCCATGTTGCCCAGGTTGATCTTGAACTACTCCTGTATAGATTTGCCTGCCTTGACTTTCCAAAGTGCTGGGATTATAGGTGTGAGCCATTGTGATGGGCCTGACTTTTTTTTTTTTAGTTTCTCCTGTAGTAATTCAATGATTTGTTAGAATTACTTGCTTATTTTGTTATAGAAAAATAGAACTAAAATTTTAAAAAATTATATTTTTTCTCAGAATGGTTCCTATGTTCCAAATAATCGATATTTACATTTCCTTCTTGAGTTTATTATAAATCTATATTCAATTTTTCAGATCCCTACTATGTTATATCATGGAACCCAGGAGGAACGTCAAAAATTGGTAAGGAATATTCACAAACGGCAAGGGACTCTGCAGATTCATCCAGTGGTGATTACATCATTCGAAATAGCCATGAGAGACAGAAGTGCATTACAGGTACAAATGGTCTTCATTGGTTTCTTTGTAATATATAAAGCATGTTTTTCTTAATTTATACTGCTTTCTTACCATTCGGAAGCATTTGTTTAATTTTGTTGTTGTTGAAGGAATAGATTATATTGAGCATATACCTATAGAACCTGCAAGCTTATATTAACAGAATGATTGGGATGAAGGGTGTCATTTGTAACAATATAATTAAAGCTTATGGCAGTTTAACCTGTGGCCATAATACCATTTCAATATCTTAGAATCATCCAGAAATAGACCTGATCTCTGAAGATATTACAGATATTTTGCGACAGCTTCTTTGAATATATGGAATTTACCTATCCTTTGTATTTTAATCAAGTAAGAGTATTTGAAGACAAGTTGTTTTTAGACTATCTTATTGGACTTTTGGTAAAATTTTCATTTCTGTTTTTCCTTATGTTCTAGCTATTACTTATTAATTGTCCAGTTAGCATAACAATTGGAAAATTGACCTTTCTTCTTTTGTGCCTTCTCTTAATTCATTTATTGGTGTTTTGAGCTTCTTCCTCCCTGCTTGACCTCATTCATTTATCTCTTTACTGCTTTGTTTTTCCTTTCTTTGACCATGTGAGAACACTGCTTAGTGTAGTCCCCTTAGGTTTGTCTTGATTGTTTGGAAATAAGAAAGTACTTAATGGTGTCAATATAAAATCTCAAAACACGTAAGTCATAATTGGCATAATATTATGGCTTATATAATTATGACCAGTATTGTCAGGTTTTGCATGTATGCTGGCAAAACTTTGGAATAAGATTTGTAGAAGTCTTAGCTCAGGAGTTTAGCAAAGTTTATGAATGTAAACTCTAGGCCAGGCATGGAGGCCCATGCTGGTAATTCCAGCACTTTGGGAGGCTGAGACAGACAGATCCCTTGAATTCCAGACCAGCCTGGCCAAAATGGCGAAACCCTGTCTCTTAAAAATACAAAACTTAGCTGCATGTGGTGGTGTGCATCTGTAATCCCAGCTCCCTGCTGAGGCACAAGGATTCCTTGAACCCGGGAGGTGGAGGTTGCAGTGAGCTGAGATTGTGCTGCTGTACTCCAGTCTGGGCTACAGAGAGACTCTGTCTCAAAAAAAAAAAACCAGGAACCGGTTTTGTGGAAGACAAGTTTTTCATGGACCATGGGGATGGTTTTGGGATGATTGAAGTGCGTTACAATTATTGTGCACTTTATTCTTACGATAAAGTTGTAATAATATATAATGAAATAAAAGGGCTGGGCATAGTGGCTCACACCTATAATCCTAGCAGTTTGGGAGGCCGAGGTGGGCAGATCACTTAAGGTCAGAAGTTCTAGCCTTTCTAACCCTGTCTCTAGAAAATACACAAAAATTAGCCAGGTATGGTGGCATGTTCCTGTAATCCCAGCTCCTCAGAAGTCTAGGACAGAAGAATTGCTTGAACCTGGGAGGTGGACATTGCAGTGAGCTGAGATCACACCACTATACTACAACCTGGGCAACTGAGTGAGATTATAATTATAATAATTATACAACTTACCATAATGTAGAATCAGTGGGAGCCCTGAGCTTGTTTCCATCTAGGGATGATGGGAGACAGTGACAAATCATCAGAAATTAGATTTTTATAGGGGGCACACAACCTAGATCCCTTGGATGTGCAGTTCACAGTAGGATTCATGCTTCTGTGAGAATCTGATGCCTCCTGATCTGACAGGAGGAGGAGCTCAGGCCATAATTAGAGCAGTGAGGAGCAGCTGTAAATCCAGATGAATCTTCCCTCACTAACAGCCTGCTGTGTGGCCTGGTTCCTAACAGGTAATGAACCCCTACAGGTCTGTGGCCTAGGTGTTGGGGACTCCTGATTTTCTTTACAATAAAAGTAATATATCCCGATTTTTTCTTTTTCTTTTTTAACAAAGGGTAGTGTACAGGAAGATGTAAAACACCTGTAATTCTACCTGAGAACAACTACTTTTATACTAAATAACTACAGCTAACTTATATAATTTACACATATGATCATACTATACATTCACCCCTCCCCCCCAAGACAGGGTCTAACTTTGTCACCCAGGCTGAAGTTCTGTGGCACGATCTCAGCTCACTGTAGACTAAACCTCTGGCTCAAGTGATCCTCCCACCTCAGTCTCCTGAGTAGCCCGGACTATAGGCATGCATCACCACACTTGACTAATTTTTATATTTTCTGTAGAGATGGGGTGTTGAACTCATGAGCTCAAGACATCCACCTGCCTAGGCCTCCCAAAGTGCTGGGAGTACAGGTGTGAGCCACTGCTCCCAGCCTACATTCCCTCTTGCAATTTGTGTTTTCTACTCAGCAGAATAACACGAAGACCCTTCTAATTTGTTTTCCCTACCCATCTTATAATGAAATAGTAGATTTCTTGTTCATTTCATTTGCCAGTGGCTAGGAACTTCCAAGTTTCCCATTTCACTGAGCTTATGTTATCATTTCAAGGATCTTAGCTTTTGGTGGTAATGGGAGTGTGAGGTTCCAGGGCCCTTGTTGCTGAGTGCAAGCAGAAGTAACTGAGTTCATTTGCTAATTTTGTTTTCAGATTCTTCATCATTTGTTTCCTTGTTTTCTTTCTCTCATCTACCTACTGTAAAAGGATATAAATATATATATATACATATTTTTTTTTAATTTGAGACAGTCTCATTCTGTCAGCCAGGCTGGAGTGCAGTGGCGTGATCTTGGCTCACTGCAACCTCTGTCTTCCGGTCTCAAGCGATTCTCCTGCCTCAGCCTCCTGACTAGCTGGGATAACAGGCATGTGCTGCCACGCCCAGCTAATTTTTGTATTTTTAGTAGAGACAGGGTTTCACTATATTGGCTGGGCTGGTCTCAAACTCCTGACTTCAGGTAATCTGGCTGCCTTGGCCTCCCAAAGTGTTGGGATTACAGGCATGAGCCACTGTGCCTGGCCAACGATATTTTATATTTATATCTGGTATTTTTTAGATAGGTGTCTTAACAGTGAGAGATAATTCAAGTTTTCTGTTTTACCATATTACCAGGAAAATAAATCCCTTTCTAGTTATTTTAATAAAGAAAATATAATACTATACGTTTTTTTTCATTCTGTTGGGATGTATAAAATCAAATGCAAACCATTCTCTGTACTCTTGTCAATTTGTCAGTCCCATTATTCAAGTATACCTATATTTTTCAGCTTGGTTTTTGTATTTCCAGAAATAGTTCTGTATGTTAATTTATTGAGATACAGAAATATTACAATGAGTTTATTATAAATTTTCCTGATTAAGATATATCAGAAATCGCAGATATTAAAATGAGAAAGTTAAACAATTTTCATGACAACTTTATGAAAGTGAATGACTTTGTGAAAATATAAATTGCTTAAAGAAGGGAAAATTTTAGTACTATTTCATGTTTCAGAGCATATGAAACTAATAAAAGATCTCAGTTTTTGGTACTCTAGTGTAACATTAATAGAAAAACTTGGGAAAGTATTTGAAATGAAAGCTGCGACTGCATTGACTAAGGTGTGAATGGGGAAATCTTAAATTCAGAATAGGTGGAGTTCAAACTTTATTGCATATTGAAGCAGGGCTCTATCAGGAACATAAATACCTGTCAGTTTTAGGAATCCTCATAAGTGGACCAAATAAAAACAAGATCATCTCAGTAGTCAGTAGTTACTAAAATACATTTGATAAAATTCAACAGCCATTCCTCATAATAGCAGTTTTATTTTTAGAATTCTTGTTAGAAAAATTGTGAGATAATTGTTTTAAAATTTTTTTCCTCAATTCATTTTCTAGCATTGCTATTGGAAATACTTAATAGTAGATGAAGGACACAGGATTAAGAATATGAAGTGCCGTCTAATCAGGGAGTTAAAACGATTCAATGCTGATAACAAACTTCTTTTGACTGGTACTCCCTTGCAAAACAATTTATCAGAACTTTGGTCATTGCTAAACTTTTTGTTGCCAGATGTATTTGATGACTTGAAAAGGTGGGTAAGCCAGATATTTAATAATGATTTAACCTCAAAAATCTGTGCTCTTGGTTAAAATTAGTTTCTTCTCAGTAGCTGAATTAAAATACCAATGTTTGACAAGTTCTTTGTGGTGTATATTATATGTTCCACTTCTGCCACAAATTATGTGAGAGCAGTTTAAGAAAAGATTATTTATAACTTATTTTTATTGATTAAAGGAGGACTGTTGAGTGCTACTTAAAGACAATATTTTCATAACAAGGTTCTTTTATGTGTATTTTAAGATGAATTTTTCTCATTATATCCTCATGAAATAACCAGGGACAATAGAGTTGTTAAATTATTTCCTATCTCACATAAAAGAAAACTGAGGTGTAAAGTTGTTACAAGATAAGACTAATTAGCACCAGAACCAAAGTTAAAACAAAGATCTCCCAATGTCAACATAGTGTTTCAATTCTGGAAACTATGTTTGAATCTTAGTTTATATAATAAAACCAGAAATAAAAATAGTTTTCAGAAAGCAATTAGTAGCTTCAGAATGGAGGAGGAGATAATGTTAACATAATTTAAAACTGAATACAACGGAAATATAATTACCTGGCCAAAAAAAAAGTAATTTATACTTGTCATCAATGAAGGAAGTAAGCTAATTGGATGTGGAAAAATAATTTTTAATTTTGGGAATTTATTTCAAATCTGGTTACCAAATGGTAGCTCAAGCCAGGCTACCTTATTGTGACTCTGGGCAGTTTTATTGAAGGACGAGAATTCCAGGTCCTGTGCAGACATTCTGAGTTACAGTATCGAGGTGGGAGTTGAGAATCTGAATTTTTTGAACATGCTTTGGTGATGATCCAAGTTTGGGAACATCTAGTCTACTGCATAAATGTTACTAGTATTTTCTGCAATTGGTTATAATGTTATCCATTATATGTTATTAATCTGCATGCTTATACATAATTGCTCATTAAAATATATACATTTTTAACATTGGGAAGGAATAAGCATGTGTAATATTGTCAAGTTATGTATATGTTGAATTTTAAAACATTTATTGTAGTGGGCCATACTTATACTGATTGAGAAAAATCATGGCTTTGTTTTTCAGAAAGAGTTCTCACTTTTGTCATATAAAATTATAAATGTGTACTTTAATCTTATTTGATTTTTATACTACTGTACGATTGTTAATCTATAAATCAGAAAAGTGTTCCCTTTAAGCTCACAGTTCTTGATTGTTGGTTCAAAAAATGCAATCACTTTGTCTTTGTTGTTTGAATGTGTTATTTTTCATTATAACTTTAAAAAATTGCGCCTAAAGATAAGGCGCAAAAGTACTATGTTTCAGTATCACAGATTATTAGTGTAAATAGTAAATCATGTATCATGTTGACGTAATTGAATTTATGTGATTGGTTAACTTAAACATTTTTCTCTTCCAGCTTTGAGTCTTGGTTTGACATCACCAGTCTTTCTGAAACTGCTGAAGATATTATTGCTAAAGAAAGAGAACAGAATGTATTGCATATGCTGCACCAGGTTTTCCATGTTTTCTTATTCTGTTTACTATAAGCTCCATAGAGTATAAAAGGAACTCTGGAGATCACCTATTTAACCCTTTGTAGTAGAGATTTGAAAAATGAAAGTCCTCCTACATTTAAATGACTTCTTTGTCCTTTCTTCTCCGAGAGGTTACATGGTTTTATGACAAAACTCAAGTGCTTACTTAAGTTTGGTCCTTTTCAGATAGTGTACTCATTTTACCCCTAATGGTTACTGATATTTGTCAACCAAAAAACAAAATCGTGGTTTTTATGCAGTGTTTGCCAATAATACTTATAATTTACATCCTTGCATGGCTGCTGTCTAATCTATTTTTATTGTTTCCTGTAGTTCCTACCCCATTCTACCTATCTTTAATTTAGAGAAACATCTTTCAAAGGTCATCTAGTCATGTAAGGCTGAAAAACTTCTCAGTTGTGGTTTAGCAATTTTATTCAAAGCCTTTGTAGTTTTTTTCTGATATTAAAGATTATACTTGCTCATGAGAAAAATGTGAAGCAGTAGAGAAATGAAAAGTAAAAACAGCACTTCCTCTTCAAATACTTCCTAGCAGTGTATATGGAATGATTATGTTGTGTTATATGACAATCCAGACCCTTTTCTGTCTTTGTATAACACGTGTGTTTTTTCTGCATTTTATGAAGAAAAGGTTTTAAAAATAAAATTGCACCTTAAGATAGTCTTTTGAACAATTATTAGAAAATTATTTTCCTTTTACTACTTGTAGATTTAAATCAGTGGTTTTTAATGGCTGCTTATTATCCCATTGTCCTGTTCTACTATAATTAATTAGCTCTTCCTCTTTTCAAACTTTTCTGCGATATAAACAAGGTTAGAGTGTATATACTTAAAGCTACATCTTTGCCCATTTCTGGCTATTTTCTTAGAAAAGAATTCTAAGGTGTATGTCAGAGTTTAGAGATGAGGGCTCTTTTGAAGGCAAATTGCCTTCCAGAAAGGATTTATCTATAACATACATCCATATGAAAATACTACTCAAGCTTCATACCAATTTTGAGGTTAGAAGTCCTTTACAGTGTGTTGCAGAGCTTGAAAAGGATGATTATTCCTGAACTGAGATGTTTGTTACACTCTTCTTGATATTTTAAAATGTAAAAGTTAAATTATTGACTGTAGTCAACCTTGTTGTGCTACGAAATACTAGGTCTTACTCATTTCTATTTTTTTTACTCATTATTTTAAAAAAATTTCAAAATTTGTATTTATTTTTATTTTTTACCCTTTTGAATGGTGCTGATAAAACCTCTTTCTTAAAGTGGTGGGCTATATAACTAAAACTAAACCCTAAGAAATACAAATACTACCTTTATATTTTTACTTTTAAACTTATTTGAGATAGATTCTTAAGAGTTTTTAAAAGAAGAGTAAATTCTGCAATGCTGTGGACAAATACTGTGGTGAGTTTATCATTTGGTGATCTGCTCTGGGAGAATTTCAAGAAGATTCTTTAATTTAACCTTTTGAGATTTAATAGTATTTATATAGGAAGTCAAAAGCTAAGGTAAACGAGTATGTGGGGACAGTATTTCCTGAAAAAAAAAAGAATGTTTAATACTCATATTTTTCTATTTGTGTTTTAATTTTAGATTTTAACACCTTTCTTATTGAGAAGACTAAAGTCTGATGTTGCTCTTGAGGTTCCTCCTAAACGAGAAGTAGTTGTTTATGCGCCACTTTCAAAGAAACAAGAGATCTTTTATACAGCCATTGTGAACCGTACAATTGCAAACATGTTTGGAACCAGTGAGGTATAGTATGGATTTGAAATATACTGTAAATGAAACCTGACATACAAAATTTCTTTCTTTTCCTTTTTTTTTTTTCTTTGAGGCAAGATCTAGCTCTGTTGCCCTGGCTGGAGTGCAGTGGCACAATCACTGCTCACTGCAGCCTTCACCTGCCTGGCTAAATATTTTATATTTTTTTTTGTAGAGACTGGGGTTTTGCCATGTTGCCCAGGTTGGTCTCAGACTCCTGGGCTCAAGCAGTCCGCCCACCTTGGCCTTACAAAGTACTGGGATTACAGGTGTTAGCAATTGCGCCTGGCCTAGATTCCAGTTTTAATGGTCCCTTGTTTGTTTTCAGGACCTGTGTGAATTTCTGACTGGGGTATAAGGTAAAAGTTGTTTCCTAGTATCTATAGTCCTGCTAAAATTTAAGTGATAATCCATCTATTAATTGCTTTACAGTCATCTGGAATACTTATTAAAAATTTAGATTTCTTTACAGATTAACTCTAATCATGCTTTCTGGGGATGAACTTGGAAAAAGCATTTTTAACAAACACACAGTTATTTGAGAATCCCTGTAGTAAGGACTTGGCAACTAGGCTGATCTCCAAATGTACAGGATGAGCATCCGAAATTTGAATTGCTCCAAAATTAGAAACTTTTCAAGTGCTGATACGACACTCAAAGGAAATGGCTCATTGGAGCATTTCGATTTTCTCATTAGGGATGTTCAACCTGTAGTTTCCTTATAGAAGGTTATTGATAACCAAAAGGATTAATAGTCAATGTGATTATTATTATTCATTATCCACCATATTATAAGAGATAGAGGTGGGATGTTATCATGTAACTGAAGGAAACCCTTAAGTTTTGTTAAACTGTCTAGTTTTATATTGTACACTATAGACCTATATATTTTCTTTTAAAAATACTAATCATCATGTGTTTTTAAAAAATAGGATTATCAGACTCTCTTCTCCTTTTTAATATTAAAATTAAAGGAAGGGTCTAGCTTTTTATTTACAAATTTACAGTACTTGTCTGTTCATGACCAATTCCATGTAGTGTTAAACCAATCTGTAGTGCACATTTCTGAATCCATATTTCATCTTTTTTTTTTTTTTTTGAGATGGAGTCTCACTCTATCACCCAGGCTGGATTGCAATGGTGCGATCTTGGCTCACTGCAACCTCCGCCTCCCAGGTTCAAGCGATTCTCTTGCCTCAGCCTCTTGAGTAGCTGGGATTACAGACGCGTGCCTCCGCACCCAGCTAATTTTTGTATTTTTAGTAGAGACGGGGCTTCAACATCTTGGCCAGGCTGGTCTTGAACTCCTGACCTCGTGACCCACCTGCCTTGGTTTCCCAAAGTGCTAGGATTACAGGCATGAGCCACCTCGCCCGGCTGTTTTCCATATTTCATCTTTAAGGTATTAAATCCTTTTGTGTAAGTTCAAAGTAGTTTTATATACCCTTTATTTTTCTCTATTGAGATATGAAGGTACTTGCTCTTTCAGATATTGTCATCCACGTTAAAATTAAACAAATTTCCTACAATATTTGAATTCTAGTCATTTTGTACATAAAAGTGTGCCTTAAATTTTGTTTATATTTAAACCCTAAGAAAGTAGCTTTATAAACTGACTTTCCTTTAATTCGTTCCCTTTTAGAAGGAAACAATTGAGTTAAGTCCTACTGGTCGACCAAAACGGCGAACTAGAAAATCAATAAATTACAGCAAAATAGATGATTTCCCTAATGAATTGGAAAAATTGATGAGTCAAATACAGCCAGAGGTGGACCGAGAAAGGTGTGAATTTGAAAATGAATTTAAGTATTCTTTAAACTGTGGTCATCTTTTGCATATCTCATAAATATGCATTATTTGTTTTGGTAGAACTGTTGTGGAAGTGAATGTCCCTGTAGAATCTGAAGTTAATCTGAAGCTGCAGAATATAATGATGCTACTTCGTAAATGTTGTAATCATCCATATTTGATTGAGTATCCTATAGACCCTGTTACACAAGAGTTTAAGGTGAGTACTCTTTAGTATTAATTCACTGTTTGATTTCTATAGCTTTTATATTGGTGGAAAGTGTTATTTTGTTTTGATTATCATTATTAGAAATAAGTTTGGTGCTATTTGTCAGGAAGATTGTAATCCTTCAGTAAGCTGAGATAGTCTGTCCCCGAAATTTCATTATTGGAGTTAGAATAATGGTTACTTTCTATGAGCAACTAGTTTTAAAAATTTTTTAATTTTTTATAGATACAGGGTCTTACTGTGTTTCTTAGGCTGGTCTCAAATTCCTGGTTTCTCAGGCAATCCTGCCTCAGCCTATTTCATGTGAACAGCTAAGAATTCTAAATTTAGTAAAGTAATTGATTTATATTCTGCATATTTACTTGCTGTATTTTAGAGAGAGTGGTCTTTTTACTATTTCTTCTATCATTAATATTTGGCTTATCCGAATCAGCCTGGTTGCTCATGGCTTGATGTTCAACAGATCTCCCTGGAAGAAAACCAATTTTGATTTGGAGGTTTTCAAATTAAGTAAATGAAGTTGCTTTCTTGGGTAGTTGATAGAAAGATAGGATAATATTAAAAGAAATCAATTCTTAGTAACCCTCTATAACCCTTGTTTCAAAGTAGTTTATAATAGACTTTTCCAGTCCTGGCAATATTGACATTTGGGTCAGATAATTCTTTCTTAGGTAATATCCTGTGCACGTAGAACATTTAGCAGAATCCCTGTCTTCTACCCATTAGATGTCAGTAGTATCCACTAACCTCAGTTGTGACAACTTAAAATTTTGCTGCCACTGCCAAGTATACTCTGGGGATAGGTGGAGGGTAAAATTGTCCCCATTTGAGAACCACTGCCCTACATCTTTATTAGAGTAAGAAAGAAGATAAAATTTTGCTGTGCAAATGAAAGGAGATCTCTGATGAGGTAATTTCACCAGACGGTGAAAAAGTTTTTATCCACAATATTTAGATTACTTAGCAGCTCCTGTGTTTTCTCTTAATTTCTGGTAAGAATTCTAGCAGCAGTTTTCATGTATGTTTAGTTGGAAATTACTCAATTATAAAGAATAAACCTGAATATGTACTCAGTAAGATTGAACTTAATTGTTCTCTTTCACAATGACTTTGAGAAAGGAATGTTGAGGTTAGATCAAAGTTATATTTGTACTTAATTTTGTTTTTGTGAAATTGCTGGTTTTACATTCTAGAGTATGTCTTTGTTTGAGAAATAACTATCTTTTGATTTACAAAGATTGAATAACAGATCAGTTTTTACTTTTTTTAATGTGACTTGCTGTTGAAAATTGAACTATTCAAATGGTTTTTATTTTGACAAAGCAAATGACAGTTTTCTCTGTGTTTTTGTTTCTTTGCTCATTTTTAAGATCGATGAAGAATTGGTAATAAATTCTGGGAAATTCTTAATTTTGGATCGAATGCTGCCAGAACTAAAAAAAAGAGGTCACAAGGTAGTACTTTTGTTTGGAATTTTGGATTGTTCATTTTTTTTTTTAATTAATCATAATAGATACTAAGATATGTTTAAATTTCAGGTGTTGCTTTTTTCACAAATGACAAGCATGTTGGACATTTTGATGGATTACTGCCATCTTAGAAATTTCAACTTTAGCAGGCTTGATGGGTCCATGTCTTATTCAGAGAGAGAAAGAAACGTAAGCTTATGTCATACATACCAAACTATTCTTTAATAACTCCTATCTTGATTTCTGAAGTAATATTCTGTAGATCCACAAATTGTTGAAAAGATAGAAATGACCAGAAACCCTGTAGTTTTATCAAAAGCAAACATTTTGATTTAGTACTAAGAAATCTTAAGTTTTGATTCTCTAATCTATTTATCTTCTGGCACAATCTTATTAATAATATCCCACTTAACCATCACTGTAAGAAAATTGGGACCGCAGGAAATTTTTTGTCTTAACTTTTTGACCTGTCCCCAACTTTCTGTTATGAAAATAACAAATATATGGCATAGTTGAAAAAAAAATTTACAGTAAGCAACTGTAAACCACCTACAGTTCTGCTGCTAACATTTGACTGTACTCTTTTTTTTTTTTTTTTGAGACAGAGTTTCGCTCTTGTTACCCAGGCTGGAGTGCAATGGCGCAATCTCAGCTCACCGCAACCTCCGCCCCCTGGGTTCAGGCAATTCTCCTGCCTCAGCCTCCTGAGTAGCTGGGATTACAGGCACATGCCACCACTCCTGGCTAATTTTTGTGTTTTTTAGAAGATACTGGGTTTCACCATATTGGTCAGGCTAGTCTCGAACTCTTGACCTCAGGTGATCTCCCGCCTCTGCCTCCCAAAGTGCTGGGATTACAGGCATGAGCCACTGTGCCTGGCCTTGACTGTACCTTTTTAAAAACACATTCCTATAATAGTACCTTGCTGTATCCTTTCAACATTTTGTCCCATTTTTTTGATGCATTTTCAAATAAATTACAGGTAATACTACCCTTTTTTGTAACGACTTCAGCATATTTTTTTTTTGTGTGCCAATCAGTTTGAGCTTATAAGGTTGCTCAGGTTAGCCTTGAACTCATGACCTCGCCTTCGCAAGCGCCACGACCTCTGGCGGGAGCCACTTTGGACCCCGACTTCAGCATATTTTATCTTTTAGGGTAAATTTTATACCTCCTGAAGCAAATAAAGTATACATTTGCTGAACCTTTCTATATGTCAATTTGTCCCCACCCCCTATTAAGATATAGAATGTTACCATCATTCCAGAAAATTTCCTATGCCCTCCTGTAGTCAATTCATCCTTTCCACTCACCCCGTGTATTAGGCACCAGCTACTAATTTTTCATCATTTTTTGATACTAGCTTTTCTTACTTAAACGTTGTGACACATGTCTTTTAACAAAATTAAGATCTCTTTAATAATGTAGGTGCTTGGACGATAAAGGTAACATGAGCACAGGTTTTGTTAGTTAACATGATTGTTTTATAGATCTGAGTGATTTGTTTGGCCTCCTTTGGTTAAGTCATTAATAGTTGTAATCGAAAAACATTTTTCTCCTTCAGTCTTGTTGGTTAGTTTCTTTTAATTTGTTGTGTTTTTATCCTTTTTACTTTTAGATGCACAGCTTTAACACAGATCCAGAGGTGTTTATCTTCTTAGTGAGTACACGAGCTGGTGGCCTGGGCATTAATCTGACTGCAGCAGATACAGTTATCATTTATGATAGTGATTGGGTAAGTTGAAAGCAATATACTGATTTATTTCCATTTTGAATCTTTTTTTTTTGAGACAGAGTGTCGTTCTGTTGCCCAGGCTGGAGTGCAGTGGCACGATCTTGGCTTACTGCAAATTTCGCCTCCCAGGTTCAAGTGATTCTCTCTCTCAGCCTCCCCATGTATTTTTTGTTTGTTTGTTTTTGTTTTGTAATTTTTGTATTTTCAGTAGAGATGGGGTTTTGCCATGTTGGCCAGGCTAGTCTCGAACTCCTGACCTCAGGTGATCCACCACGCCTGGCTATTCTGTATTTTTGCTCTTTAATTGTACACATTGCAGATGTATTTATCTGTTTTGAAAAGATACCCATTTTCAGCTAAGAGTTATTTCTTCATAAAGTTTTCCTCATGTAAAAACTTGACATTTTTTTTTTTTTGAGACAGGGTCTTACATTGTCACTCAGGCTTGACTGCAGTGGCACCATCACAGCTTATTAGTCTTGACCTTTTGGATTCAAGAGATCCTGCCACCTCATCCTCTTGAGTAGCTGAGTCTATGGGTGTGTGCTACCATGCCCACAAAAAATGTAAAAATTAGGGAGACCATGTCTCACAGTTTTGCCCAGGCTGGTCTTGAGCTTTGATCCTCACATGATCTTCCTGCCTTGGCCTTCCAAAGTGCTGAGATTATACGAATGAGTCACCGTGCCCCAGCCTGAAATGTTTTCTTTGCATATTTAAACTTTTTTGTTATGGTTGCCACTGATCTCTGGAATGATAATTTTATCTATGAAGCCACTCTGGAAGTTTAAGACACCACTTTTTAAAAGTTCCTGACTGGATCATTCATGTGAGCTTTATCCACACGTTGTGAGTTTATGTTAATTTTAACCTAATGCCGTTAAATTTTATTTTTCTTTTTAACTTTAAGAACCCTCAGTCGGATCTCCAGGCCCAGGATAGATGTCATAGAATTGGTCAGACAAAGCCAGTTGTTGTTTATCGCCTTGTTACAGCAAATACTATTGATCAGAAAATTGTGGAAAGAGCAGCTGCTAAAAGGAAACTGGAAAAGTTGATCATCCATAAAAGTAAATAACACTTACATAGTACTTTATTGTTTAAATTGTGCATTGTGTGTTACGGATTTTTGTAATTTGTTTTTATTTTCTTTATAAAAAGTTACAATCTGATATGACAGGATTTAAATAAGCAGTGGAGAATTTGGAGCTGCTAATAAGCTACTCACCATAAACATAAAAGAAAGAATGTTACTGTGTATGTAGATGAAGAGCAGATGGACAGAGAAAAGGGGTCAAGGATAATTACATGTTCCTGATAAGACATTGGTCTGCTAAAAGGTTTAAGATAAATATTTTGCAAGTTCCATATATTAAATATAATATTAAAATATTAATAGTGTATTTAAGTAGTGCTATTAAAATCAATTTATTTATTGAATCCAGTATTTTACAAAATATTTTACTGCAGAAAGCCCTTTTCATAGTTTGGGACACTTTTTTCCCCCTTTTTCTTTTCCTTATACCTAGATTGATCTCAGTAATGCTTTTTAATCTAGAAACAATTCCGAGGAGGTGGGGTGAGGTATTATGTTTTGTTCGCTGAGATTCCTTAGAGAAGTTCTATTTCTATCCATACAACATAAAATTTTGCTTGAACGAATGGCTTGATAGCTACATGAAGAAAAATTGAAAATCATTTATGTAAATCATAAAGCCTAGAGAAATAGAACACGATAGTGTTAATGTGAAAAATAATGTTGGAAGTAACTAACAATTTATTTTTTTAATTATTAGGTTTTTTTCTTAATGTCTTTTTTTTTAATTGTATTTTAGGTTTTGGGGTACATGTGCAGAACATGCAAGATAGTTGCATAGGTACACACGTGGCAGTGTGTTTTGCTGCCTTCCTCCCCTTCACCCACATTTGGCATTTCTCCCCATGCTATCCCTCCCCAGCTCGCCCACCCCATGCTGTCCCTCACCTATTCCCCCCAATAGACCCCAGTGTGTAGTACTCCCTTCCCTGTGTCCATGTGTTCTCATTGTTCACCTGCCTATGAGTGAGAATATGCGGTATTTCATTTTCTGTTCTTGTGTCAGTTTGCTGAGAATGATGTTCTCCAGATTCATCCATGTCCCTACAAAGGACATGAACTCATCATTTTTGATTGCTTCATAATATTCTATGGTGTGTATGTGCCACATTTTCCCAGTCCAGTCTATCATCGATGGGCATTTGGGTTGGTTCCAGGTCTTTGCTACTGTGAACAGTACTGCAATGAACATTCGTGTGCATGTGTCCTTATAGTAGACTGATTTATAGTCCTTTGGATATATACCCAGTAATGGGATTGCTGGGTCAAATGGAATTTGTATTTCTAGGTCCTTGAGGAATTGCCACACTGTCTTCCACAATGGTTGAACTAATTTACACTCCCACCAGCAGTGTAAAAGTGTTCCTATTTCTTCACATCCTCTCCAGCATCTGTTGTCTCCAGATTTTTTAATGATTGCCATTCTAACTGGTGTGAGATGGTATCTCAATGTGGTTTTGATTCACATTTCTCTAATGACCAGTGATGATGAACATTTTTCCATATGTTTGTTGACCTCATGTATGTCTTCTTTTGTAAAGTGTCTGTTCATACCATTTTTGAATGGGCTTGTTTGTTTTTTTCTTGTAAATCTGTTCGAGTTCTTTGTAGATTCTGGATATCAGCCCTTTGTCAGATGGGTAAACTGCAAAAATTTTTTCCCATTCTGTTGGTTGTCTGTTGGTTGCCGATTTCACCCTAGTGACTGTTTCTTTTGCCGTGCAGAAGCTGTGGAGTTTCATTAGGTCCCATTTGTCTATTTTGGCTTTTGTTGCCAATGCTTTTGGTGTTTTGGTCATGAAGTCCTTGCCTACTCCTATCTCCTGAATGGTTTTGCCTAGACTTTCTTCTAGGGTTTTTATGGTGTCAGGTCTTATGTTTAAGTCTTTAATCCATCTGGAGTTCATTTTAGTGTAAGGTGTAAGGGGTCCAGTTTCTGCTATCTGCACATGGCTAGCCAGTTTTCCCAACAGCATTTATTAAACAGGGAATCCTTTTCCCATTGCTTGTTTTTGTCAGGTTTATCAAAGATTGTATGGTTGTAGATATGCTGTGTTGCCTTTGATGCCTCTGTTCTGTTCCATTGGTCTGTATCTCTGTTTTGGTACCAGTACCATGCTGTTTTGACTACTGTAGCCTCATAGTATAGTTTGAAGTCCAGTAGTGTGATGCCTCCTGCTGTGTTCTTTTTGCTTAGAATTGACTTGGCTATGTGGGCTCTCTTTTGGTTCCATATGAAGTTCAAGGTGATTTTTCCAGTTCTGTGAAGAAAGTCAATGGTAGCTTGATGGGGATAGCGTTGAGTCCGTAAATTGCTTTGGGCAGTATGCTCATTTTCACGATATTAACTCTTCCTAACCATGAACATGGAATGTTTCTCCATCTGTTTGTGTCCTCTCTGATTTTGTTGAGCAGTGGTTTGGAGTTCTCCTTGAAGAGGTCCTTTACGTTCCTCGTTAGTTGTATTCCTAGGTATTTTATTCTTTTTGTAGCAATTGTGAATGGCACTTCGTTCTTGATTTGGCTCTCTTTCAGTCTGTTATTGGTGTATAGGAATGTTTGTGATTTTTGCACATTGATTTTATATCCTGAGACTTTGCTGAAGTTGCTTATCAGTTTCAGGATTTTTTGGGCTGAGGCGATGGGGTCTTCTAGGTATACTATCATGTCGTCTGCAAATAGAGACAATTGGCTTCCTCCTTTCCTATTGGAATACCCTTGATTTCTTTTTCTTGCCTGATTGCTCTGGCTAGAACTTCCAGTACTATATTGAATAGGAGTGGTGAGAGAGGGCATCCTTGTCTAGTGCCGGATTTCAAAGGCAATGCTTCCAGTTTTTGCCCATTCAGTATGGTATTGGCTTTGGTTTGTCATAAATAGCTTTTATTATTTTGAGACATGTTCCATCAATACCAAGTTTATTGAGGGTTTTTAGCATAATGGGCTGTTGAATTTTGTCAAAGCCCTTCTCTGTGTCAGTGCAGATGATCATGTGGTTTTTGTTTTTGGTTCTGTTTATTGGTGAATTACGTTTATAGATTTGTGTATGTTGAACCAGCCTTGCATCCCCGGGATGAATCCTACTTGATCATGGTGGATAAGCTTTTTGATGTGCTGTTGCAATCGGCTTGCCAGTATTTTATTGAAGATTTTTGCATCTATGTTCATCATGGATATTGGCCCGAAGTTTTGTTTTCCTGTTGAGTCTCTGCCGGGTTTTGGTATCAGGATGATGTTGGTCTCGTAAAATGAATTAGGAAGGATTCCCTCGTTTTGGATTATTTGGAATAGTTTCCGAAGGAATGGTACCAGCTCCTCTTTGTGTGTCTAGTAGAATTCGGCTGTGAACCCATCTGGACCTGGGCTTTGTTTGGGAGGTAGGCTCTTAATTGCTGCCTCAACTTCAGACCTTGTTATTGGTCTATTCATAGTTTAGGCTTCCTCCTGGTTTAGGCTTGGGAGGACACAGGTGTCCAGGAATTTATCCATTTCTTCCAGGTTTACTAGTTTATGTGCATAGAGTTGTTTGTAATATTTTCTGATGATGGTTTGAATTTCTGTGGAATCCGTGATGATTTCCCCTTTATCATTTTTTATTGCATCTATTTGGTTGTACTCTCTTTTTTTTTTTTAATCAGTCTGGCTAGTGGTGTCTGTTTTGTTGATCTTTTCAAAAAACCAGCTCTTAGATTTATTGATTTTTTCAAAGGGTTTTTCGTGTGTCTATCTCCTTCAGTTCTGCTGTGATCTTAGTTATTTCTTGTCTTCTGCTAGCTTTTGATCTTGCTCCTCTAGCTCTTTCAATTTTGACGATCAGGTTTCAATTTTGGATCTCTCCACTCTTCTCATGTGGGCACTTATTGCTATGTATTTTCCTCTAGAGACTGCTTTAAATGTGTCCCAGATATTCTGGTATGTTGTGTCTTCATTCTCATTGGTTTAGAAGAACTTCTTTATTTCTGCCTTCATTTCATTGTTTATCCAATCAACATTCAAGAGCCAGTTGTTCAGTTTCCATGAAGCTGTGCGGTTCTGAGTTAGTTTCTGAATTCTGAGTTCTAACTTGATTGCATGTGGTCTGAGAGACCATTATGATTTCTATTCTTTTGCATTTGCTGAGGAGTGATTTACTTCCAATTATGTGGTCAGTTTTAGAGTAGGTGTGATGTGGTGCTGAGAAGAATGTATATTCTGTGGATTTGGGGTGGAGAGTTCTGTAAATGTCTATCACGTTTGCTTGTTCCAGGTCTGAATTCAAGTCCTGGATATCCTTGTTAATTTTCTGTCTCATTGATCTATCTAATATTGACAGTGGAGTGTTAAAGTCTCCCACTATTATTGTGTGGGAGTCTAAGTCTCTTTGTAAGTCATTAAGAATTTGCCTTATATATCTGGGTGCTCCTGTATTGGGTCCAAATATATTTAGGATCGTTAGCTCTTTTTGTTGTATCGATCCTTTTATCATTATGTAATGTCCTTCTTTGTCTCTTTTGATCTTTGTTGCTTTAAAGTCTATTTTATCAGAGATGAGAATTGCAACTCTTGCTTTTTTTTTGCTCTCCATTTGCTTGGTAAATCTTCCTCCATCCCTTTATTTTGAGCCTTTGTGTATTCTTGCATGTGAGATGGGTTTCCTGGATACAGCACACCGATGGGTTTTGGTTTTTTATCCAATTTGCCAGTCTGTGTCTTTTGATTGGTGCATTTAGCCCATTTACATTTAAGGTTAGTATTGTTATGTGTGAATTTGATACTGCCATTTTGATGCTAGGTGGTTGTTTTGCCCGTTAGTTGTTGTAGATTTTTCATTATGTTGATGCTCTTTAGCATTTGGTATGTTTTTGGAATGGCTGGTATTGGTTGTTCCTTTCTATGTTTAGTGACTTTTTCAGGAGCTCTTGTAAAGCAGGCCTAGTGGTGATAAAATCTCTGAGTACTTGTTTTTTTGCAAAGGATTTTATTGTACCTTCACTTATGAAGCTCAGTTTGGCTGGATATGAAATTCTGGGTTGAAAGTTCTTTTCTTTAAGGATGTTAAATATTGGCCCCTACTCTCTTCTGGCTTGTAGGGTTTCTGCCAAGAGATCTGCTGTGAGTCTGATGGGCTTTTCTTTGTGGGGGTGACCTGACCTTTCTCTCTGGCTGCCTTTAGCATTTTCTCCTTCATTTCAACCCTGGCGAATCTGATGATTATGTGCCTTGGGGTTGCTCTCCTTGCAGAATATCTTTGTGGTGTTCTCTGTATTTCCTGGACTTGAATATTGGGCTGCCTTGCTAGGTTGGGGAAATTTTCCTGGATAATATCCTGAAGAGTATTTTTCGGCTTGGATTTATTCTCTTCGTCACATTCAGGTACACCTATCAAACATAGATTAGGTCTCTTCACATAGTCCCACATTTCTTGGAGACTTCGTTCATTCCTTTTTTGCGGTTTTTTCTCTAATCTTGGCTTCTCGTTTTATTTCATTGAGTTGATCTTCGACTTCTGATATCCTTTCTTCTGCGTGGTCAATTCGGCTGTTGAAACGTGTGCATGCTTCGCGAAGTTCTTGTGTTGTGTTCTGAAGCTCCTTCAATTCACTCATATTCCTCTCTAAGTTGTCCATTCTTGTTATTATTTCTTCAAATCTTTTTTCAAGGTTCTTAGTTTCTTTGCATTGATTTAGAACATGTTCTTTTAGCTCATGGAAGTTTCTCATTACCCACCTTCTGAAGTCTGATTCTGTCATTTCATCACTCTCGTTCTCTGTCCAGCTTTGTTCCCTTGCTGGTGAGGAGTTTTGGTCCTTTGTTGGAGGCGAGGTGTTCTGGTTTCGGGTGTTTTCCTCCTTTTTGTGCTGGTTTCTTCCCATCTTTGTGGATTTATCCACCTGTCGTCTGAGTGGTTGCTCATTTTCTGATTGGGTCTCTGACTGAACGTCCAGATTGTTGGTGATGAAGTATTTCTATTTCTTAGTTTTCCTTCTAACAGTCTGGCCCCACTGCTGTAGGACTGCTGAGGTCCACTCCAGGCCCTGCTTGCCTGGGGAACTCCTGTAGCAGCTACGGAACTGTGAGGGTTGCTACCACATTCTTCTGCTATCTTTGTCCCTGAATGATGCCCACCAAATGTCAGTCTGATCAGTCCTTTGTGATGTGATTCTGGATATACAGGTGTCAGGGAGCTGCTTGAGGAGACAATCTGTACTTTATAAGAGCTCTAGTGCTGAGCTGTGAGCTCTGTTGTTCATTCAGGGCTGCTAGGCAGGTATGTTTAAGTCTGCTGCAGCAGAACTCATAAAGCCCCCCCCTTTTTTTTTTCTCAGGTGCTCTGTCTTGGGGAATTAGGGCTTTATTTATGAGTATTCGTTTCACTTTCCTGCCCAGCAAGGAGGCAGTCTACTCACTTCTTGCCTGTAGTGGCTATGCTGAGCTGCCGTGGGCTCTGCCCTGCTGCCGTGTGTAATTCCCTGTAGTCCTGTTTATATGGGTGTGGTTAGAACTGCAGTGGCGATGGTGGTCCACCTCTGTAGTGGAGGACTCTCTGTTATGGCGGGTTGCCTCGGCAACGGCAGATACCTCTGTAGCCTAGGTAGTGGCAAACGCCCCTCCCCCACCGAGCTGCACTGTCCTGAGTTCAGCTGTGCTTGCCGTGAAACTCTCAACCCCAAGCGTTTCCAATTGCTGTTTTGCTTGTTTTTGTGGGGGTGGGACCCTCCGAGCCTGATCACCTGGCTCCCTGCCTCAGAGCCCTTTTTTTTTAAGTTGAAGGGTTGACTCTCTCCCAGGTGTTCCAGTCGCCTGCTGCAAGGTCACTGGGGTCTGTGTGATTTCCCGTGCAGCAACCCACTGTGCTGGCTGAAACCACGTTGCTGCCTGGGAATCTCCTGGCCTGGCTTTCTGTTTAAGTCCGGCTTAATCAGATGAATGTGCTAATCTGACTTCCAAAATCTCCAATTGCCGGTTTAACAGGGCAAGCAAACCAGTGTATTTTTTACGGAGTGCTGCTGCACTGCGGCCCGGCCTAAATAGCTGCACCAGCCTAAAGTGTCCTGCTGGCGGCCTGTGGAGCTCCTACACCTGGTCTGTGGGCAATAAAGATTTGTATGGAAATGCGGCATGCACTCCCCCTCTGCGATTTCACTGGGAGCTGCAATCCTGAGTTGGTTCTACAGCACCATCTTCCCCTCTTACTTCCAGCAATTTATTTTATGCTCACTTTCCACTTGCAAATGCTTTTTCTGGGTTTTGAGGGAAGAGTGGATTAAGGTTTAGACAAAATTAGTTTGACTCGATGAAACATTTAGATTATAATTGGAATTACAGGGGGAAAATGCATAATTTTTTTTAAAGAGACTATTTCACTCTGTTACCCAGGTTGCTTTTGAATACCTGGACTCAAGCGATCTTCCTGCCTCAGCCTCTCTAAGTGTTGAGATTATAGGTGTGAACCACTGTGCTCAGCCCTATTTTTAGTTTTTTGGTAGATTAATTTAGTAGAAAATTTTGAACACATTTTTTGAAATGTTGACATTTTTCAGTTGAGGTATTATATACATGTAGTGAAATGCACAGATCTTAAATGTACAGATTAATGAATTTTGACCAGGTGTATATACTCAGGTAACTGTCATCGAGTTCAAGGTAGCATTTTCATCATCCAAGAAATTTTCTTTATTCACCCTTTGCAGTTATTCCTGTGCTTCCGTTACCATCATTAGAAGGCATCCAGTATTCTGATTTTTGTCACATTGATGAGTTTTTTCCTTGTTTAGCTACTTCGTTGAATTTATTTTTTTTCAGAGCCATCTATGTTGTTTCTTGTAGAATTTTTTTTAATTGATGTATAGTTTGTTTATCCATTCTCCTGTTGGTCTGCATTTAAATTATTTCCAGATTCTGAATAAGCTGTTCCTGTACAAGTCTCTGTAGACATAATGCATTTTTTTGTCCTTGGTCATCTTCGGGAAGGTGCATGTTTAATTACCGGAAACTACCAACCTTTTCCAAAGTGGACACACTATTTTCCACTTCTCCCAGCAAAGTCTGAGAGTTTCAGTTGCTTTTATTCCTTATCAGCACTTGTTTTTTTTTTCCATTCTTCTTAATGCAAGCCATTGTGATTGCTTTGTAGTATGCTGTATTGTAGTTTTAAAAGGAATTTTAATGTTTTTAATTTCTCATTTTTTTTTTAGATCATTTCAAAGGTGGTCAATCTGGATTAAATCTGTCTAAGAATTTCCTAGATCCTAAGGAATTAATGGAATTATTAAAATCTAGAGATTATGAAAGGTGAGTTTTTAATTTTAGAAAGATTTAATTTATAGCTTTGAATTATTCACATGGACTTGAATCTTTTGTTTTCTATAGGGAAATAAAAGGATCAAGAGAAAAGGTCATTAGTGATAAAGATCTAGAATTGTTGTTAGATCGAAGTGATCTTATTGGTAAGTATCATGCTTTTTCTTTTTTAATGGAAATTTTGAAATATACACATAATTAGAATAGTATAATGAACCCCTTGTACAATTTATTCAGCCGCATGTATCCAGTCTTGTTTCATTGCCATTTTCTTCTCAATATTAAAATCAAAAAATCTGACATAATGACATTTTACTGATAAATGTCATTATCTTTAACTTCTTCCTTAATTCAGATATTTTTGGTAAACTGATAAATAACAGTTTTATAAATATATTCAAGTTCCTACCTTAGTCAAGAACACCACTGCTTTGTTCTCATATTTTTCGTCTCGTACCAGGAGGTCTGGATTTCTTATTTCCAGTGAGCTAAAGTAATATTTTGTATTTCATAATTTCCTAATTATTTTGCAACATATTGCTATCGTCTAGGCTATTATTTTTCTGTTGCATCTGTATGGTGGATAAACTGTATAATGTTCTTTTCCCAACTGTATTCTGTGATGTTGATCTTTTGAAACTGGTGATGGCAGTAATGTTCATATTACAGATATAGACAAAAACTACAAATCTGAGTCTTTGTTTTTAATAAAAAAGGGTCTTGCTTTGTATCCCTAGCTGGAATGCAGGCGCTCAACTATAGCTCATTGCAGCCTGACACTCCTAGGATCTTGGGACCCTCCAGCCTCAGCCTCAGGAGTAATCTGTGATTATAGACATGAGCCATTGTTCCTGAGTTTTTATTTTTTTTGAGAGCCAATTGTTAAACATGTACCTGCATGGCACTGGGTACAGTGTCATGATACTGTATTTTCAAATATGTTATTCATTTAAAAATTCAATTCTATGTCTTTTGAATCAAAATAATATTAAAATATATGTGGTAAGTTTTTTTTTAATTAGATACATTTTCCAAATGTTTCTTCCCCTCTGTGACCTGTCTCTTCCATTTTCTTATTTAGTATTTTCTGAAGAGCAAAAGTTTTGCATTTTGTTGAATTCCAGTTCTAACAAATTTTTCCAGTAACTCATGACTTTTGTGTCATCTCTAACTACTCTTTGCCTAATGCCACCAGTCTTGATGCTTTCTTTTTAACAGTTTTATAGTTTTTGGTCTTACATTTAGGTCTGTGATTTTTCAGTGAGCTTTAATCTTTTTGCATGTCAATATCCATTTTTTAAAAAGATGATCTTTTGTCTTTTGGATTGCTTTGTCATCCTTGATGAAAATCATTTGATCAAGGGTTTATTTCTATATTCTCAGTTCTGTCCCATTGATCTCTGTGATTTTTTTATACCAGTATTGCACTGACTTAAGGTAGCTTTGTGGGAAGTATACTTTCTCTAGTTTTGTTCTTTTCTTTCCTCCCCCCCCCAACCCCAAGATGGAGTTTCGCTCTTGTTATCCAGGCTGGAGTGCAATGGCACGATCTCAGCTCACTGCAACCTCCGCCTCCTGGGTTCGGGCAATTCTCTTGCCTCAGCCTTCTGAGTAGCTGGGATTACAGGCACGTGCCACCATGCCCAGCTAATTTTTTGTATTTTTAGTAGAGATGGGGTTTCACCATGTTGACCAGGAGGGTCTTGATCTCTTGACCTCGTGATCCACCCGCCTCAGCCTCTCCAAGTGCTGGGATTACAGGCGTGAGCCACCGCGCCCAGCCTTAGTTTTGTTCTTTTCAAGATCGTTTTAGATATTCTGGACAATCTGTATGTTTATTTGAATTTTAACTTTGAAATAGTTTAGGAAGAAATCTCAAATATATTAAAAAACATTATATAATGTGTGTAAGAGTGTTTAACATCTGAACATACTAATATAATTCATATTAATTAAAAGGAGAACTAGATGATCACCTAATTAGATACAAATAACAAAACCCAACTTGATGTAACATTATAATCATCTTCATAATTTTTTTTGGTTTGAGATGAGGTTTCGTTCTGTCATTGAGGCTGGAGTGCAGTGGTGTGATATGGCTCAGTGCAATTTGAACCTGCTGGGCTCAGTTAGTCCTCACACCTCAGCCTCCCAAGTTGGTGGGACTACAGGTGTGACTACTACGCCCTGCTAATTTTGTTTTGTTTATTTTGTAGGGACGGGTTTGCCATGTTGCCCAGGCTGGTCTCGCCCTCCTGGGCTCAAGTCATCTTCCTACCTCAGCCTCCCAAAGTGCTGGGATTACAGGCATGACCCCCTGTGCCTGACCCCATAATGCTTAAAACTAGCTGGGGATAACAAAGTTCTTCTGATGAAAAAGAACATTCATATAGAAAATTATTACTAAAACGAGGATAAAATCTCTCACTTTCACTGTAATTATACAGTGTGGAAAAGATGTCTTAACTAATACCATAGATTAAAAAAACAAAGAATCGAAATTCCTTTTTATTTGCAGGTGGTCTGGTTTGATTATCTTCATAGGAAGTCCAAGGGAATCCAGAATCTTTTAAGATGGAATTTAAGAAGATTGCTTGTTAATAATATGTGTTAACAGCAATAATTATTTAATAATGAAGGGTTTTACAACAGCTACAAAACTGTAACATGCCTACAATTAAGTTTAACAATTTTTAACACATTTATGTAAGGACAGAATTATGAAACATTGAAGGACATTAACTGAAAGACTAAATAAACATACAGGTTTAACTGTATTTGTGGATATGAATGGTTACTACAAAGTATAAATCAGTGTTCCCCAAAACTAACTTACATTCTTGAATTTTTCTTCTAATTAAAAGCCCAGAATCATGGCTGGGTGTGGTGGCTCACGCCTGTAATCCTGGCACTTTGGGAGGCAGAGGTGGGTAGATTGTGTGAGCCCAGGAGTTCAAGACTAGCCTGGGCAACACGGTGAAACCTCGTCTGTACTAAATACAAAAAGTTAGCCGGGTGTGATGGCGGGCACCTGTAATCCTAGCTACTCAGGAGGGTGACACGGAATTGTCAGAACCCGAGAGGCGGAGGTTGAAGTGAGCCGAGATTGCGCCACTGCACTCCAGTCTGGGTGACTGAGGGAGACTCTGTCTCTTAAAAAAAAAAATAAGAAAAATCAAAAAATGACTTTTTATAGAACAGACCGTTGTTAAAATTTATATGAAAGAGTAGTAAAAGGCCAAGATCCAAGACAATTTTGAAGAACAAGATATTTTATATCAGGTATAATATCTTATTAAAAATTAAAAGGTCATAATCAAGATGGTAGAATTAGCACATGGTATGATAAATTAACTAGAGGTGCAATATGGTGAACCTAGAAAAACTACGAAACTTTCATGAAAAGCTAATAAATGACAAATGACATTTCAAACCAGAGATAGGAAATTCATTTTAATCAATAGATTATCTTGGGAAACGGTAATGAATAGGGGAAAATGAACTTAGATTCTCCTCACCTCACACTGTACTTACAAACTACAAATAAATTAACAATCATATGTTCCAAACCTAAGTATTAAAGGTAAAATTTTAACTTAAAAATATATTTATGATTTTGGGATTAGGAAAGAATTCCTTTTAATACAGAAATTACAAGTTATATGACAGTTTTCATATATTTTAATTACATTAATAGGAAAGAGTACTGTAAGACATGACACCATAAGCAGGCAAACCACAAAGAATATTTGCAACATATAACAGGAAGTGTTTAGGATATGCAAATAAATAAAAGTTGATAATAAAGATGGATAATATAAGAGCAATCTGTTACCAAGAGAGAAATCTTTCATGAACATACAAGGATGATTAGAAATCAATAATACAAATTAAAATCAGTAGAAATTTCATTTCACAGCTGTCATATTGGTAAAGATTTTATGAGACTACATATTGTCATTGATTAAAAATGTTTCTCAGGGTAAGCTTTTGGTGTCTTGCTCTTCAGCTTTTAGATTAACCATGATTGGGCCTGTTTTTAAAACATTTCTGAGAACATGATTCAAATTCATGTTGTTTATTGCTCTTCAACTTGTTTATCTTACCTTAAATTCAGCAAAAGAGATTTTGACTAGCAAACTCACGCTTTAGATTGTATATTCCCAAGAGGCTGATTCTAGTTGTTGTATTAAGAATAGTGTACCTTTTTGCTTTTGCTACTATTAAATCCTGGTAATAAAGGAAGAGCATGCCCTATATTACTGTGAGTTTTATTATTTTGGACAGAGGACTCACTTCTCATAGCATCATATTGGATGTTTCTTTTGCGATTTCTTCTTATGTTTCTAAACTGTTTCCATTTTAATGTTTTTGTCTTAGATCAAATGAATGCTTCTCAACCAATTAAAGAGAAGATGGGGATATTCAAGATACTAGAAAATTCTGAAGATTCCAGTCCTGAATGTTTGTTTTAAACTGGAGCCTATGAATGGCTTTTAAAAGTTCTTGTTTGCAACTAGTGATTTCCCTGTATTGGGTTTGAAATACAGATTGTCCACTTAACCTTTTTTATTTTATCAGTTGACATGTAACTAGTACCATGTGTACTTAATTAGATGGTAATTTTCTGAGCCTTATTACAAACAAAGAAGTATCCATATTAAGTTTAGATTTTCAGTTACGTTTTGAGACTGAGTATTATTCTTGGATACAGGCTGATGTGTACTTAACCACTTCCAGATTTATACAGTCTTCCTGTGGAAGTTTAGTAAATGTCTTTTCTTCTAGTAATACAGTTTATGGGGTTTTGGTACTTCAGTTATGAAGTAGGCTTTTCATGGGGGAGAGATCGGGATATGCTGTCTGTTGTTTAAGAAACTGTTGATTTTCAAGTCTTATTTCTATGAGATAGTTTACCAAATAAATTTTCCTTATAAGATAATCTCATTAAATTATTATTTTAAAAAATAGCTTAGGTACAATAGCAGCAAAAGACTTGACTATTGATGGGATTTGATATTATTTGTTGTCTTGGTTTCATTCACTGGTACTATCGGAGTGTGTCATATAAAGATTTCAAGTGGACATTTCTGTTAGCACAAGAGAAGTTCTGAATGAAACTGTAGGGTCTTGACAAAGACTAGAAATTGGAAATGGTAGTATATCATGCGAAACAAGGCAGACCCTGAAAATTCATAGTAGTGGGTTAAATAGAACCAGATAGAAGAGAACAGGCCTTAGGGGTATGTAAGTAATGCAGAATCCATAATAGAACAACACAAACGCCAAAAAGGGCACAGTTTAGACCCTGTGTAAAAGGATATCAGACAATGAGGAAGAGAAATCCTGAATGTGCCCTGGGGAGGGGACGTACTCCCTGGACCATACATTTCTGTGCTGGTATTTATTTCATGGAAAAATGTTAGTTGTTGCCATATATATTCATATGCAGACCAGATGATCTGCGACTTAGGAAAATGGAACTGTCACTTAAGAAAAGCTTTAAAAAGTTTTTTTCTGTGCCCTGTTTACACAGGTCTTTCTTCTTTTAAATTTTTATTTCAGTAGTTTTTACGGTACTGCTGGTTTTTGGTTACATGGATAAGTTCTTTGGTGATGGTGAAAAACTTCGGATAGAAAATTTGGTTAAATAAAAGACTATAGAGCAGGTTTATTTGTTTAAATGAAAATAGTTACCCATCACATAAGCATACTGACCTAGGCTTGCTTGAAATTCATGATCTTATCATTAGTGATCTAGTCTTCCCTCTTACATTGTCCTAAATGACCATTACATAGTTTTATCTCTGTCATTACATGTCTCATATCTCTTTCCTCTCATTTTGCTCCCCATTTCCATGAGAAAATAGATGCAATCAAAAAGGAACCTTTAAAAGTTGTCACCATTGGATCTGTAAACCTAGCATTTATGTCTATCTGTCCTTTCTTACATACTATGGATGTATTGTTTGTCCTAGCTTGAGCCAACTGAAATGTCTCATTTCTTTAATAGCAAAACTTCTTGAAAAAAAGAGTTCTTTTATAGCAAAACTGCTTGTCTGTATTCATTGTTTTTAGTTTATTCTGTTTTTTCCTGAACCCATTCCAATAAGATATTTATCTCCATTGGAGCCATTTTTTTAAAGGTCTCTTATGGCAGCAGTGATCTTATTTGACTTGATCTATTAGCAGCATTTCATATGATTCACTCTTTTCCATAAAAGTTATTTGTTTGGCTTCTAGCAAACATATTTGCCTGGTTTTTCTCCATATTTCTCTGGCTCTTTCTGAGTTTCCTTTGCTGTTTTCTTTCTCTCCTTGAAACATTGGAATGTCCTAAGCCCATTTTGTGATTCACTTGATGGTCTTACTTCATTTCTTTAATATGAACTATGCTGATGACTCAGATTTATATCTTCAGCCAAAACCTTTCTCTTGAGTTCCAGATTCACATATCCAACTTCTTACTAGGTGCTTGATAACTCAAACTATTCTGTATCGCACTTTGCTTTTTGTTTAATCCAAATTTGCTTCTTTTACATTTTTCTTAGTTAATAAATAACTTTATTCTTCCAATTGTTTAGACCTCAGCCTCCCAAAGTGTTGGAATTACAGGCGTGAGCCACCAAGTTCGGCTGCTGTCTATATAACGCTCCCCCTGCCATCCACCATAGTCATTTGATTCTTCCCTTAGTTTAGCTGAGTGGTTTTTTGTTTTTTTTTTTTTGATGGTTCTTCAAATGTCTTGGGATCATTTACTGTTCCTCAAATTATGAGCAATGCTTAAAATACTTAGAAATACCTTCTTTAAGAGTGTGCCTTCCTACCACCTCTCACTAATTCAGACATGAAATAAAGATCCTGCACATCTTTTGAGTATAGTTATAAAATAATTTTTTGATTGGCTCAGTAGTTACTTATTATCATGGCTATATAAGCATTATTAAAGCTTTAGATAAGCCATAGAATATGCTATTACTGTCTGGGTGAGGTGGCTTACACCTGTAATCCCAGCACTTTGGGAGGCCGAGTTGGGTGTATCAGGAGATAAGACCATCCTGGCCAACATGATAAAACTGCATCTCTATTAAAATATAAAAATTAGTCAGGTGTGGTGGTGGGCATCTGTAGTCCCAGCTACTCAGGAAGCTGAGGCAGGAGAATTGCTTGAACCCAGAAAGCAGAGGTTGCAGTGAGTCAAAGAATGCTATTGTATTTTCATTCTTGTACGCTTTTTTTTTCTCCTGAAATTAATACTTGCTGTTTTTTTTTTAACCTACCTATAATTTATATCTAAACTCTCTGGAAGTAAACAGATCACATGATTCAGTAGTAAATCTTCCCCTCCAATACATCCTGTCCCTCCACCCCTTGGAATATTGTTTATTCTAGTCTGGACTGTAGAACTGATTCCATCTGGAACCTTCCTTTACCATCCTTCTGGTATTCATATTGGCTGTCTCATGTTTTGGAACTACTGTTTACTGAAATTCTCTCTCTCTTTTTTTTTTTTTTCAAGACAGAGTCTTGCTCTTCTCGCCCAGGCTGGAGTGCAGTGGTGTGATTTCGGCTCACTGCAGCCTGTTTCCTGGGTTCAAGCGATTCTCCTGCCTCATCCTCCTGATAAGCTGGGATTGCAGGTGCCTGCCACCACGCCCAGCTAATTTTTGTATTTTTAGTAGATGGGGTTTCACCATGTTGGCCAGGCTGGTCTGAAACTCCTGACCTCGGGTGATCCACCCACCCCGGCCTTCCAAAGTGCTGGGTTTACAAGCATGAGCCACCACGTCTGGCTGGACCTCTTTTTTTATTTTTCCTTGGTTTGCTCCCTCATTTTAATGGATTATGTTGTCCTGTGTTTTCCTGAGAAAAGAATTCAAGGGAAATTAATTTTTCAGAACTTGTATATCTGGCTGTGTTTTTGTGTATTCTACATTTTGATGGATAGTTTGGTTTGGGATTTTTAGATTAGGAATTAGTTTTTCCTCAGTATTTTTGAAAGTTGTTGTGTTGTCTGAGAACTTGCAGTGTTGTAGGAAAGAAAATTAATAATAACTTTTTATATTTTTGAGACAAGGTCTGATTCTGTCACCCAGGCATGAATATAGTTCACTGTAGCCTTGACCTCATGGGCTCGAGTGATCCTCCTGCCTCGACCACCAATATAGGTTGGACTATAGCCATGTACCAAATGCCCTGCTAAGTTTTAAATTTTTTTGTAGAGACAGGTTCTCACTATGTTACCCAGGCTGGTCCTCAACTCTGGGCTCAAGCAATTCCCCCGCCAGAGCCTCCCAAAGAGCTGGGATTCCAGGTGTGAGCTCTTGGACCTGGCCCTATTGCCACTTTGATTTCCAGTCTGTTGAAGGAAATTTCCTGCCCTTTGTTAATGTGAAATTCTAATGTTTCTTTGTCTTTTATATTCTAAAGTAATAACGCAATGATATGTCCTTGATATAGATTTTTTCTTTTTTCTTTTTTTTTTTTGAGATGGAGTTTCACTCTTGTTGCGTAGGCTGGAGAGCATTGGCGCCATTTTGGCTCACCACAACCTCCACCTCCCCATTCAAGCCATTCTCCTTCCTCAGGCTCCCTACCAGTAGCTGGGATTATAGGCATGCACCACCACACCCAGCTAATTTTGTAGTTTAGAGATGGGTTTCTCCATGTTGGTCGTGCTGGTTTTGAACTGCCGACCTCAGGTGATCAGCCCGCCTTGGCCTCCCAAAGTGCTGAGATTACAGCTGTGAACCACCACGGCCAGCCTTTTTTTTTGTTTTTTTTTTTAAAGAGACAGAGTCGTACTATGTTGCATAGGCTTGATTTGAATTCCTGATTTCAAGTTACCTTTTCACCTTAGTCACTAAAATAACTCGGACTACAGGCATGTGCCATTGTGCCCATCTTTTTGGTGCGAATCTTATTTTTGTTTTTGTTTTACCCTTTTAAAAGCTCAGTCTGAAAATCTGTCTTTTAATTCATAGAAGTTTTTTAGAATGATTTCTTGGAGGCTTTCGTGTTTGAATGTGTGCTCCTCTCTCTGCCTAGAACTTTTTTTTTTTTATAAGAGACATGGTCTTGGTGTTGTCCAGGTTGTAGTGCAGTGGTGCAATCAAAGCTGACCACAGCCTTGAATTCTGGGCTCAATCCATCCTGCCACCTCAGCTTTCCGAGGATCTGGGACTACGGACATGTGTTACTATGTGCAGATAATGTTTTTTGGTTTTTTTTTAAATTTGAGACAGAGTTTCGCTCTTGTTACCTAGGCTGGAGGGCAGTGGCGCGATCTCTGCTCACCGCAACCTCCGCCTCCTGGGTTCAGGCAATTCTCCTGCCTCAGCCTCCCGAGTAGCTGGGACTACAGGCGCGCGCCATCATGCCCAGCTAATTTGTATTTTCAGTAGAGACGGGGTTTCACCTTGTTGACCAGGATGGTCTCGATCTCTTGACCTCGTGATCCACCTGCCTCGGCCTCCCAAAGTGCTGGGATTTCAGGCTTGAGCCACCGTGCCCGGTCTTGTATGTGATTTTTTTTTTTAGTCTTAGCAGTTTGAGGTAAGATTTTATAAGAAGCCTACAAAGCCTTAGTTTTTTCATGAAGAACATTAAATAAGTGGTTCTGTCTTTATTTCAAAGATTATTTTAGTTCTGAATTTCTACTCAAATAATCAACCACATAGTCTAGAATAGCTTATAATTTATTTACATTTGGTTGAAATATGCTCATAAACTTACTCCTGAGCTTATGTTCACAGGTTCCAGTTGAGGCTAAATGAGGTCTAAAGAATGAATTAACTTATTCGTGGCCGGGCGCGGTGGCTCAAGCCTGTAATCCCAGCACTTTGGAAGGCCGAGGCGGGTGGATCACGAGGGTCAACAGATCGAGACCATCTTGGTCAACATGGTGAAACCCGTCTTTACTAAAATTACAAAAAATTAG